CATATTGGATTTCAGTCCCATGCGGAGACCTGATCTAGCCCCCCCCCCCCAAGAAAAATCCTGCGTACGCCACTGCCCAGATCAAATTATTTGGTCCGAATTCTCGGAAAACAGACCATAAGAAAAGCTGCTGATATGCTCATCCGACTGTCTAGGAAGGTTTTCGACGCAACGTGAACTATCCCGATGATTCCCGAAAGTGTTTGTGGAAGTTCCACTTATCGGTGCTTCTCCTCCTTCAAAGGCGTCGATGATATCCACATTCATACTCAAGCCCGAAGTCTGACTGAGAGTGGAACTGAGAGAGATTGGCGAGATCCGGGAAGAATGACTCAGTAGTACCTACATTCAGTCTGACGATGTTTTTCCCACCTTTACCTGAGTGGGATCACTAGCTTCAGATCGGGAATCTCCGAACATAGAGGGCTGCGTCACTTGCACCCTCGAGATCTCTCGGGACTCGGGTCAGATCAATCCTTGATCATATGACAGCTCATGGAGAATTCCTCGATCCGCAAGGCTCGAGTCTCTCATTCCCAGTCAGTGTGTCGACCGGAGACTTGCGAGCGCCACGGGACGGAGTCTCCATTATTTTCAGGGTGAAGGAAGAGAGCGGGTCACCCACGGAAGACACCACGGGTCTTGCTCATGGATCATGGTGCTGATTTTTGGGATCGACGAATATTCGATCTATCGCATCCTTCCAAGAAGAAATCCTCAACACTCAATCCTCAATCATTGCGTGAGGAAAACAGAATGCTTTGCTGAACTCACAGTGAGTCATAGGGAAGTAGACTCCGACCTCCCACGCCACCCGAGGGGTACGATGACTATCGAGCTGGTTCGGATGGCTCCTCAGGAATCGAACGTCTCATCCAAATTTCCTATCATCAAGGCTGCAGCTCCGTGAGGCCGTTTCCGTTGATAAGGATACCACAAGTCGTGAGCGGCAAGTCTCCTGTGTCCTCCGACTGCAGGAGACTCCACAGAGCGGAAAATTTCACCTATTTCGATCCGGGTGGTCAAATGGGTCACTGACCCGCGAGCGAAACGCTCAGTCTGCAATGCGGAGATGCTTTCTCGTTTCATGAAAAATGCAGCTCATCTCGATCATCTTAATGAAAGTGGAAACAAAAGGCAGACACCCCGAAGCTTCCCGGAGTCTTGAATTTTTCCGGGGACTCCAGACCCAGACCTCGAACACTTCCTGGTGCTTCCTCATCGACCTTCACTCATCGAGGAGCCAGTGGCGGCGCCAGCGGGAAGCTTTGTAAGCTATAGCTTCCTAAGCCTCTGGAGTCGGGAAGCTTAGCTTCCTAAAAATTTTCCGATCATAGATATGTTCCATCGGTTTCGGAGCATTCAGAATGCTGCTGTCGATCATGCTGGGTTGAATTTCTCGAGGTCACGAGAAAGACTTGATCGCGCACATGCGCTTGGACGCACTACACGCACGCAACCCCAAAACGGGGGTTTCCTCTTTCATGATTGGTGATACCCCAGCTGATATCCGTCATCAACATCTGACCGAGAGCTGAGAACTTCCAAATCAAATCGTGGACGAATTCGCCAAAGGCAAAGATCGGAGAATTCCCCTGGTGTTATGACTGTGATTCAAACGCTTAAGTTAGTCGTATCTCAGCTCGTCGCTAGGAAAGTAACATAAGACGGAACGCGGAAGGTCTCCGCTGTTTCTACTATATAATGTACAAAGATATGTATCATTGTATGCACCTATGCAACACTAATACTTGCCCTATAAAGCAAATCTTTGTGTCTCCGAGCGCGCTGACTTCCTCGTTCGGAGGAAGCTGTATCCAAGAAAAATTCAAGCTTCCCAAAAAAAAATGGCTGGCGCCGCCACTGCGAGGAGCTCTCTCGTCAGTCAGAGCTCCTCGAGGACTACCAGTGATCCGGTGTCATCGGTCTCATTCAGATGTCCGGATTTCCCTATGCAAATCTGTGTTCATTTGGAGGCGGGATCGTGAAATCATCAGGGAGTGAAGATTTGTTTTTCCCAATCTCCCATGTTGGTCTGTCCTCCAGGGGCTGTAATCTGAGATCGATACTCCCGTGGGAGATGTTCTGATGAATTGTGTATTGTGAACAATGCGCATTGTGAACTATGTATTTGCTTTCGGAGAAGGGATCGCCCCTTTTCTCATGCCCGCGCCGCCTCTCATCTGAATGGTCCCGTGTCCTGTAAGCGTGCAGGGGTCCGAGGACGTCTCCCGAGGATGAGGGGATCTCCAACCAGACTTTCCTCGGTTTCCGATAGAAGTCAACTCGATCAATCACGTCGCAACGACGAGATTCCTGGCTTGCTAGTCGCAAGCCATTGCGGCATTACCCCTTCTCCGCTCCTACCCAGAGCCGGGGTGCTGATAATTGTTTTCGTCCACCGGGCTCTCTTGAAACAGGAATCAAACGCCTCGGTGCAGCATAAGTTTGTGAAGCTCCCACAATCAGATCACGAACGTACGGCGAACAAATGAGCATCTCGATCCCGCCGCTGCTCGCGCTCGCCGCCTGCTTTTGAGAGAGGGCTCGAAATATGCGGCGGCAGAACCGTAGTAACTTCAATCACGAGCACTCAGGCCATCCCAGCGCGAACGAGTTTGGCGACGAAAACATTCTCTCGGTCTGCCGTAGGGCGTGGTTTAATGACTTTGATCTGACTGAGCGTTTCTTGTCCTTTCAGATATGCGGCCCCTCTCCACCAAGTCCCGCCCGAGTCGTTTGAAGCTCCGCCCCCGACGTATGCTGCGGCTGCATTGCCAGAGCAGCCGTCATCCTCGTCCACTGGCGGCGAGAGAGAAACGGAACGTTGGGTTGGCCCCTCATCGTCGACGTCGGATCGGCAGCAGCAGCGAGAACAGCAACCAGTGGTGCCACAAGCGGCAGCACCAATAGCAGCCGTTGCAGCAGACTCGCTGTTACTCGGCGACGATCCGCCACATTCAGTCTGTGCTGCTCGCCATATCAGTGCTGCGGGTGGTGAAGATAACTCGTTGTCTTCTTGTTATCAGACCAGTGTCGACGCCGTTCCTATCACTTCTCCTGGAGAGGATCCGATAAGGGATCGTACCGTTGTTGTTGTTGTTCAACAATCAGGACAACAACAGCAACAACAGCAGGAGTCGATTCGACGAGACCCTCCTAAATCGCAACAGCTGCAACAATTGCAACAATATCTAGTGGAAGTGGACTCTTCGGAAGTGCCGATTGCCGTGAGGCCTGGAATGCTTCAGTGTCTGAAGCCCCACTGCGCGACTGACTTTGAGATGGAGCCTTCTAGTTACGTGACATACAACGGCCAACCCTATCAAACAGCCAGTTCGAATGTGCGTTCTCTTGAAAACCATGGAGTCCTCGGATGGCCCGCCCAGGGCTACGATCCGACGGGATTCTCAGGCTATCCAGCTGCCACAAATCCGCTGGGCATGCCAATGGGTGAGTCCCGGGGAAAACTCAATTGTGTACCTACATATAAGAATATCGAGGAAGAGCTCTCCATGCACCAATCATTCTTCTGCGTACGCTCTGATAAGGAACTCTTTGAGAATGAGAGCTGTAATGGTCGGGTGTCGGGTAAATTGTGAACCGAAAATCTTCGACAAATATTCCCCGTCTACTTGTGCCCCTATCATACCTAGGTAATGGAGAATCAGAGCATGCATGACCCTCGGAGGTTTCGGTGTTGGCATTCATCGCCATGGATACCGCAGTTTTGAGCTCATGAACGTCTCGCGACCCTTTCGTCCCGAGTGCACATTTTATTTCGGGACGATCATCGAAGCGGACACCGTTCCGCTCTCGAATGTCACCATTTCTCCTTGTGCCTCTCATGAAGATGTCCCGCGCGCGGGTCGAGCACCATGAAAACGAAAACGCAGGCTCCGTCCGATTCCCTGCTCTCTCGGGATAGCGTTAGGGAGATTCCGGTTAGCGGTGTTTCACCATATTCGCTCTGGTCCCTCAAAGATTGTCGTCACCCTCCGTCGTCGATTCCTTTGTTTTTCGGTTAAGACCGCTGGACTTCGAAGGCTCTTCTGAAGCCTGTCTCGTTTGAAAAATATTGTTTGTCACTCGAGCAGTCCAGCGCCTAATCGGCCAATTGCTCCGCTGGCTGGACACTTGACTGTTTGGTTGGTTTCCCGGTGGCGACGCCTAATGCAAATTTCTGTTATCAGTTTCTCTCTGTGCCCCATCAGCAACACACAGACGCGTACAGCTGACCGACCGTTGTCGTTTATCTCGGGTCGCCTGGCTCGATGGCGGTTGCTGCTGCTGCTGCTTCTGCTGTTTTTGAGCTGCAACTGTCGTCTCTATTTGCGCTACGGGGTCCACAAAAGGACTTGAACTTTCTTCCTCGTCAACCAGTTAGATATGTCTGCTCGGTCGATCGATGTTCGGTCTACCTCGTCAATCAGGCGGAGAAGCTGCGAATTCGAGCTCCTGAAACGATTCTGAAAGGGCCCGCTGAAGGGTCAGAATGCGCTTCGAAGAGTTCCTCTACGTATCGCTCTGTCTGCCGGATCCCCGAACGTTGGGAGATTCGTGCATCGCTCACTCGTCCATACATATGTATGGGTAGGACATATAATCATATCTGTGGGCTTCCTCAGGCAAGTGCAAGCCTGAATGGGCCTCCGTCCAACGGAGCTCCGATTCGCGGCTCCCGAATATTGTCCGATTAATTCGCCTGACCTGATTTCGTTTTCTGCGATTCTGTTACTAGTGGCTGTCAGGCAGGCAGACTTCCTTTGACTGGCTGACTGGCTGGATATCTGAGTGGTGTCTTCCTCTGAGGCCAATTTAGATCATTACGCGAGATAGGATCATTGATTAGAGATATCGAGCCAAGTCTGGCGAAAAGGAGCGAACAGAGACGGCGGGCGAGAGGAAAAGAAACTAAATCGCTCTGTCGGTTTATGGTGACCCCTAAGCTGAGCAACGTATGAAGTTTGAATTCTGCTTCTTCAGACTGAATGTCGCCGCCGTCAAGAATCTCGCGGAGAAAAGGATCGGTGCCGCTCATGCTAAATTGGCCACTGTTCTCGTGAACGTCTAGAGTCTGGATTGCCAGATATACCAATCGATCGACCGATCAGCTAAACGCCTGGCTTCTCGAGGATGACCCGAGCGGTCGCGAATTTTCATTTGGCACTTTCGGTGCTGTACAGTTCAGTCTTGCGTCATCGAAACTCCGCATCGAGGCGTCGTCGTAGCTCCGCAGGATGATTCGTGGATGCAACGCATTTGCATAAGTTTCATTTGCTCCGTCATTGAAGACCTTGTCGGAGTTCCACATCGTTAAGTGAGCAATGTGAACCGTCATTCGGAAGCGCCGAGAGTTTCGCAAGCATGGCCTCCAGTCCGACGCCGTCGAGTCATCGCAATTAGAGGGAGACAGGGATGCAGGACACCGGTAGATTTTTACGTGCTTATCTCTCGCTTGATTCTGCGGTGCCGTGAGCATCGAGCGGACTAGAACCGCAAGTAGCTAGTCGGCTGGCCGGTCGGGAAAGCGACCGACCGACCGAGCGGCTGACAGGTCGGCCTCCAGAGAGGGAGGATTGTTATCTAACGACGGCGGTCTGACAGTCGCCTTTCGACTCCTCTTCCGCTAGTCCACTTCGATAGCGTCCACTACCTCCTCGGGCATACGCACAGACGAGAAGACGGAACGACAAACCCGAGTCACTGATAGGCGTCGCGTCTCAAAGCTCGGGACTCAGAACACTTCAAAACACCAAACGCAACACGTCTGGCGCCCGTTCGACTTTCGCTCGGAGACTTCTGATGGGTATCGGCGGCAAGTTCCGCTCGTGAGCGAAATTCCCTGTAGCGATCGCTTTATGAATGATCGCGGACCCGAGAAGCCGAAAGGCGTTTTTTCAGTCCGCGAGAACATGGGGGGCGGGATGACTTCCATCCAACGGGAGCAAATCCATCTCCAGAGCTCATGGCTTTCATTACTTCCGTCGCCTCGACTAGGCCCGGATTATCTCCGGAATCGTCGGCTCGCTTCAAACTCCACCATCACTTCAGATTTGCGACGGACATAAGCGACTCGATGATGCCTGCTCGTTGTAGTGGCTCGGAAAGATGTCACCGAGCGAGCAAGCGTACGTGGATGGTCGCGGGCAATCGGAAAGGAAGTCGACCGAAGCTTGGCCACGAAAGCAGCGTCTCGGTGATTTACTATTCGGATTCGATCAGCGCATCCAACGAAATGATCTCCATGAGGAGAATGAGTCCAAGCGACGAGACCACATGGTTCAAGATTTCTGGCTGGTATTCCCCTCGTCTTACTGTCATGGGATTCTGCCGGTGGAATTTTGACCTTCGGCTACTTTCCGGATCGCTAGTTCATCGCGTCGCGCTCGTGGGGACGGTGGGAAGATGAGCGGAGTGCGATTTTTCTAGATAGGTCATCATCGACCATGGAGCTGCACCACTGAGTGACTAATTGTGCTTTATCTATTTAGATCCAGCCTATATCGACTACTATCAAGACTCGAAGGAATGTGTGAACTGTGGAGCGGTGTCAACTCCATTATGGCGAAGAGATATGGCGGGTCATTATCTATGCAATGCTTGTGGTTTGTATACGAAAATGAACGGCTCCAACAGACCTCCCGGTAGAAACCATCAGAGTCCACCATCTTCGAGTGCATCGCCGCTTGCTTTGGCCGCGTCTGTGGCGTCTTCAGTGCCTTTATCTTCGCCTTCATCAACTTCGTCTTTGTTGAAGCGCGCTGTCAACGGAAGTTCTTCAACGTCGTCGGTTCCTTCGGCGAGCAGTTCTCAACAGGTAGGTGTCGAAACCTTAGACGAATCTTCTCGCCGAGCATTTATGATGCTCGCGTCACCGAGCTCATATCGGCCCATCATGTAGAGGGATCGATGAATGGACTGTTTCCATGACGACCAATAATTATTGATGAAGTCTGCTGTGATGGCTATGAAAAACAGCCGCTTGGTCGGCGTTGACTGTCGTAAGTGGCGGCTCGACAGTCGCCGCGGGAGGTGGTACGACGATAGCATCTGTATATTCTGTCCGTGTGCTTGGCCAGAACCCCATCCGTGGAGCTTGCAGGGCAGCCCGTACGCCTTCTGGCCGGCCGGGCGGCCGGACAGCCTCTTTGCCAGTCACTGATTCACTGGCTTGGGATCATTCGTTGTTCTTCTGAGATCCCTAATCCGCCGTAATTGGCTGCGCTTAGCGAAGGGACAGCTCCGGCCTTCACAGGAAGACCGCAGGCTTTACGGACACGAACACCGAGCAGCTCAGTCGCGACATTTTCCGACCGGGATCGTTCTACTCAGGCATCGCGATCGTTTAACTCTAGTGCTCCGATCTCTCAAGGAAAAAGAGTGAAATCTGTCGAGTTCGGTTCCGTGTGCCCAGGAAGGGAGTCTCGCTCGATCTAAATCAGTAGTACCTATCATCTCGATCCGGCGGCACCAAGTGTGAGTCGATTCAGATGGCGTGAACGGTGTAGACAAGCTTCAGATTACGATTCCGTATCATGATAGCAATCGGTGTTGATTTGAAATAGTACTGATATGTCAGCTATCTGGCCTCCAGCATCCGACCAGAGGGTTCTACGAACAAAGCAACATTAGAAAATTAATCTTCCCACGAGCGCCAGACTGCTCTTCGGCTTCGGTGTGGTGGCCCACTGTGACCATAATCCGTAATACGTGACGTCGGTAGCAGCAGTAGCAGCGGCACCATCCACCGCAAACCCAGCGAAAAAGCAGCCAGACCCGCGACGTACAACTTCCCGTGCTGCTCATGACAGTTCAGAGGATAATGCTTGGCTGGCAGTGCTGCTAGCGCCAATTCTATTGCATCGTGCTCCTCGTTAGAACTGTAGCATTCGTCCAGCTGCTCGTCAGGCAGCTTTACTTCTCACAGCATTTTGCATATTGTATTCTCCTACCGTGCTCACTAGCAGAGGATCGTCGCCCAATGCCGAACACTTGCGTCCATTCTTTGAGGATCGCGCATGATGGCAATCGATTCCGAGCATCAATGCGATTCCGAGCGGCAATATTTCATCTATGCATATAGCTCCTGTAATTGAGTCTGGATATTTCCCGTCATCGAATACCAAATGACAAAATACACATTGGAGGACGTAGGATTTCCCGACGCTATATCATTGAAAATGGTCCGCACCGATATGAATGTCTCGAGCTCTTGATCACAGAATAGAAATGGCGAAACGAGCGCGTATCCGGAGTCAGCGATCGACATTTTGATCGTGCAACAGGATATGAGTGTCGGCGACGCGATGCTGCTGTTTTAACGCCGACAGCCAAACGAACGGCGGTGAATTCGAAAGTTTCCGCGATGGTGCTCCTACTCATGGGGAATGGTATCGAGATTTTCCTCCCAGATCTCCGGTTCGGAATCTGAGCGAGGAGCCGCTGCGATCACATCAGCGCGGATGAGCTGTACGTCGGCTAAGCAACCTATGCTGAACGATCGACCATCACGACCCTAATCCAAGCCCACCAAACACACGAAGCTTCTATTCGCGTTAGATATCCATCGATTCAGAGCCACGACCCTCGAATAAGTGTTACACTTTTTTTATGGGGAGTAATGAACGGCGAACACTACCGAAAAAAGCCACGGTAGCACTGCTCACAAGTCGACTTTACGAGCTTCTCGTTCCCCGAGCACTTAGTGCATGAGGATTCTGTGTGTCGTGCTCCGAGCCGTATTCTAGGAAGCTCCGTTTGCTCCGTCTTCGGAATGATCCCCATCGATCATCCATGCCGATTGCCCCCCATATCGATGATATTTCGGTTCATCTCGTGGCTTTCGGAATAAAATACATTCATGAATGTTCTTTCATCGCGTTTTGGTTCCTCTCCGTCTGCCATATCTGTATCGCGATCAGCTCGTTATTTCGAAGCTGCGTTTTACGTCGCTCCTCCGCCTTCCCTGCGCGGAGGAGCGATCCCTCGCTGACGGCCCTTATCCGTCTATTCTCCTAGCGCGGATTTATTGACGAATTCGTTTCCAGAACCGCGCCATAAAATCCAAGAACAAGCCATCGAGCGCCACTGTATTTAAGCTGGAAACTCGTCTCCGACGTCTCGCCGATTTCCACTCATCGTCAGAAGCACGCTGATGGATGAAGCCCTTGAGGAAAAACGCCCGAGCAACTCGTCGAGTATCGCGAATGGGCTCCTGGAATCTCTGAAATCTGAAACAATTACGCCCGGAACGGAGGAGACATGGAGAGAACTGACACACGGACTGGCCGAGCGTCTGCGCTACCTAGCAGAGCAAGCACGGATCGTGTGATGACGTACTTTCGTGCTTTATTGTGCTTTGGCACTTAGTATGCGACTGTAATAAAAAAGCACTCGACTACTTGGCTGCAGCGACAGTCGCCGGATCATGGTGCTGCTGCTGCTGCCGCTGATGATGTCTGTCTTTGTGAAATTTAATTGAGCCAACGAAGCGCGCGCCAACCATCCAGCCCTTACCTCTCTACCAATCTTCCTGCCAGTGGTAATGCGGCGGTGGTTGCTGCTGCCGCTGCTGCGTGTGTTGATTGCGGTGGTTTCGCTTCTGCTCTACTCGCTGCTACGCCACTCACACCGTAAGGCAACCACGACAACAGCCGCGGCAACCACAACGCCGACGAAGACCACTATTCTCGGATGATCGTAAAATCTAACCAAGGGAAGGACAGCGACAGCAATAGATTTCATCACTGCCGACTGCAGCACAGCTCGCCGAGCCCTTGATATAATTTTCGAAGTTCCATTGATGTAGGAACCTCCTTCCGCTACATCTACCTCATCGAAAGAGCTAATGCGAAAATTCGCTCTACGGAGCCCACTTTCCTCATCCATGCAGTGGAGGGAATCGCCATTCGCTCCCGTTCCGATCGTCGTCGGAGCGAGAAACTCGAGACCGCGATTCTCGCAGATCGCTCCGAAAATTCGACTGGAGGAATGATCTTTCGGAAAAGGAATCCGGCCGTACGTCTGCTTGGATGGTAACTCCTAGGCCCATGCGTAATATTCCGCAGTGGCTGAGCAAATGAATCGTCTCGATCCGTCCCTTTCCTGGAGACCTGTTTTCGTTGAGCGTGGTCTCGGTGAGTATTCGGCTGTGCCAAGCCGTGGATCTGTACTGGCTGCTGCGTTTTGCGCCTCCAGTTCAGCGGCTGCTTCCGCTGAGCGCTGCCTCTGCAGATGGAGCGTGAGTGGAATTCGAAAATTTGCGATCCAGCCTCGTCCGAGCGACCGACCGACCGACCAACCAACCAGCGAATGGATGGCCCGCCTGCGTGTTTGCCAGCCAGCCGGCCCAGTGCTGTCTGTATGGCGGCTTCACACTACGACAGCGGAATACCCGCGCGTACACACACACACACACTCACAAAAGCCACCGCTTGTCACCGATGCAGAGCGGGTGCCGTAGGACCCTGTTTAGTCGAATAGGAATCCTCAACAGACTCCTCCCTGGCTGAGCCGAGGGTCGAGCCAGCGGACGCTGCTCCGCTACAATATGCTGAGCGGAGAAGATTCGCTGGTTGATGCTGTTTCGATCCCCAGAGTCAAAACTTCATACCGTAGACGGGCATGCCACTGTCGACTTCGAAGCTCCCTATAATCGCAACCTCATGAGCTGGAGGAGTCAATCTAACCCCTCCTTGAAGCTCTATCATTGGAGTTCGAAGCAGAGCTCGATATCTTCTGCCAGCCCGATAGGACGCAATAACAGAGGGCTTAGAAGTCGTCACTGAGGGTGCCTTACTGTTAGAATATTTGCGGTGTATGGGAGGATCGCGTATTGTCTATTTGAATCACAGTTTCCATGATTGTCCCGCGTTCTTGTCGGGTATACCAAACGCGAAGCGCTTTCCTACGTTCTCCATCCCCTGGCGGATTGCCCTATGAGGAGCGACGCGCTAGTGACGCTGGCCCATTTTATTTTCAATTCCGCCAGACGTATTTTATTTGAAATTGGCGCCGGTTGTCGCCAAATGCTGAAAGTTTACGATGAAGAAGACGGCCACGACAACAACGACGCCGGAGTAGCGGAGGAAGAAAGACCACAGTCTGAAACGCAGAAAAAGCGGCACACGAAAGAAACTAAATTGGCATTCACTGTTCGTTCCTAGCTGGCTGATTCGTTGGTTGTTTGTTAGGGACTCTCGTCGGTCGCTTTCCTATCCAACCTTCTTCGGTCGGTTAGAGGATTCATCTCAACCATTGGCGTCATTAGATGCATGATCGTCGGCTTCGAGCACTGACTGTGCCACCAGTGACGGCAATCAATATTCAACTTGGTCCCGTCTCAGACTGTCTTTTCCAACTCGAGAGGCCGTCTCACTGACGTCGACTGCAGACCTACTGCATGGATTCCGTTTCGGACTTGAAATGATCTGGCGGAACCTCGGAGCTCGTCTCTAAATTAAGTTCAAAAGTTTAGGAACTAGAATGGAGCGGAGCGAGTTCCGCCTGCGAAGCCTGGCAGCCACAATTGTGGACAACTCCCCCGATTACTGGCCCGGTAGCCGGGAGTCTTGTGATAACATCCCCACCATGATCAGGAGCAGAGCCTCGCTCTATCATAAGGATCGGATGGAGGAGCTGTCGGTCAGTCGCAAAGCCGCATCGGCATCGATTCGTCGATCTAGAGTCGATATCGGGCAGCGAAGATACAGGCGAGTCCAACGCCAAGGCTGAGGAAATTAGTCGCTTTAGTCATTGTACCTCTATATCAAGGATGGGGACCGATACAGATGTAGGAGCGATGGCTTCGTGGTGAGCTACGAGCGACAAACAAGAATTCGGAGCGAGAACGACAGCCTCCTCGTGGCTCTTCAAAATTTCCCCAAATCATTTCCGAAATATATATTTCGAGATAAGAGCCGGGCTTATCTATGCAAATCGATAATTGCACCTCTGCCACAGGTCCCGATCACGTCAGCTATTGAGGCGCCTAATTTGGGACGTTCCTCATTCTGTTTGTTGATCTCTTCATTTCGTGGCTGTTTCCGACGCGGAAACGGGTTTTCGGACAAAAACTATCACGATAACCAATTTTGACCCGCGAGCTATTTATTAATGCACCGGCTCCATGATACGAATAGCCGGAAAACTGAATATCGCGGCTCGAAGAAGTCTTCGCGGATTCGGAGGCGTTCCAAACAAGAGATCCGGAGTTGGCTAGAAGATGGAGCCTCAGGAGGGAGACGCTTGAAAGAATTCCACGCGATCGTTTGCGCTGGTGGAATCTCATTTTAATTGTGATGTTGATTTCTTCGTTTTAAAATGATGAAGCGCTCTTGGGTTTTCAACAGAAGCAGCCACAAGAGACGTAGCCTTTGCCAGCCGGGCTCAAAGCCATCCGGCGCTTATTCGAAGAGCCAACAAGCGAGCAAAGATGGCAAACAGGCCAAGCAAGTCGCGTCTTTCTGATTTTATAGGGAACGCTGTCATGATGCGTAGTATAAAGCTTCTCATTGTTGTTTAGGAAGTGTCGCCAATACGAAGAGTAACCTCTTCTGAGCACGCAAGGGTCGCTGGCGACGTCTTCCGTTTCAAGTCGAGTTTTTTTGTCGAATACGCGGTCACGCATCGAAAATCGGTTCAAACTGCCGGTTCGAATCTTCCGAACGAGCCTCTCCTGCCCATTTGGAGATTCTATATGGAAACATTGTTCATCATTCATTCCTAGTTCGCATATCGGATTTCGATATCTGCCTTTACAATCGCTTCCCTGGGAGCAGAAATGATTCTCTTGTTTTGAAATCGCCACGCTCCGACGCCTGACAGGAATCATCATCGGAGCTCTACATCTCGGTCATCGGGATGAACATTCGCATGCTCCCCGCATCGAAATTCGAATCCTGAATCTCGCTCTACACGCCGTCTGCATGAGCCAGACTCCTGAGCGAATATCTCCCTTGAGACGGCTTTTTCGACTCAGCTCGCTGCCTATCGAGTTGCGTATACGGATACGGCCAGCGTATGCGTGCGCTAAGAACTCGGTTCACAGCACGCCTTCGCATCTGTGAGTGACGACGAGGGCCCGGATTTCTTCATCCGACGTTTCGTGATTAAATTGACTTGATGGAAAGTTCGAAACGTTCTTCTGGATGGCATCCTTTGCCGTATTTCCCCTTCTCTACCATGTTTGATATTTTCGTCACATTTTACGATCTTCTGCTTCTCAGGCGCTCCGGTTTTTCTTTTTCGTCGCCGAGCGAGAGCTGCCAGACGACATCCGCGCCGCTTCACAGCCAGCAGGAACGGTGTCTGACATAGATAGGAAATATTGCTCCGACGCTGAGCGTTTACTCGAAAGTCTGGCTGTCTGACCGCTGCGGTACGCCGCTGCTCCTATCGACCGCTCTGGCTGAGGAGAGCCTGACGTCGGGTTGCTTAGGAAATCGAGAGCCGCTCGCTCCTCATCTCTCATCTCCACCGAGTCTAGAAAATTTCTGAATTTGATTGCCTATCTCGAGAAGACATCATTCGCTCCATCCAGATTGCTCTAAGTATGAAAACTTTTAGAGGAGCCATTGCAAGCTCAAGCTCAGTTCTTTTGTTCTAGTGGATCGAGAGCGAACCGACATGGGAATTTCTGCTCGGAGAATGATTGTATTCCCCTGAACTGAGACACTGAGTGATATTGATTGGTGGCAATCCACTCGCAGATTGCGTCCTCTGCGGAAGGCTTGGTTTCCCTACTACGAATCACCAGCTTTCTACGTTCTGCGACTACTGGAGGCAGACATGGGGCGGAGCGCTCCGTGATACTTTCCAGAAAACAAGTAGTTCGGAAAACTTTAAACTTCCTGATTCGATGCGGGGATCAGAGTAATGCGATCTGACACGCAGGCCCCCTTTCCGAAAACACCGTAATTCCTCTGCTTGAGGATTGAAAATAATAATTTTCTCTGATTGAGGAGCATGCTCGCTGTACTCCAGCGAATCCCGACGGCATCGTTCCCTCACGCAGGCGGGCGAAGCAAAGGGTGCCCATTTCCGGAGAACGCCCTCCCATTCGAAGGTGCCTTCTGATCATAGAGAGTACGCCATGAATGATGTTCGACGATCCCTCGAATATACCGCCTTATGCTATCCAATCAAGTCAGATATGAGTCGACTGTTCATCTGCTCGTTTGTCACTATCTGCTTGTCGGCTTTGCGTACGGCTTATAAAACAATTTAAATGTCATAAAATGATATCTGGCCTAAAGTCTCTTGTAGCGGCTGAATCTGTCAGAGATATATGTGTCGGATGAACGCAGAACACTGATAGATATTGTGATTTTCTCCAGGATTACGCTAATCACCGTTGAGATCCCGTGGTTATCTTTTTACGAGGCGCGAGACTCGTCACCGCTTGCTCGGTCTGATCTTCGAAAGAAGATCCCGCACCGAATAGAGTTCTGCTTCCGCAGAGAGCTGAGCTGAAGTTTCTCTCCGGCGTCTTCGGTCTGATGTCATTTCTCGGATGCTCTACGATTTTATTGTTTGATTTCGGCTATACGATAAGCGGCGGCGACGACGAGCTTGTAGAACTTTTTGTAATTGGATTTCGGAATTTCGCTCCTCGTGGAGCCGAACCGAAGTGGTGAAGTTGCGGCGGACGGACGAGAAGCTAGCAGACAAGCGAAACTCCGAAGGCCACTGGGCGGAGCAGGGGGTGGAGCTCCACGAAAGGCCGCGCATAAAATTATTGGCAGCACTAGATTCTTTCGCGCTAAAAGCATTTCTGGATGAAGACGTAGAAATCCACCACAAGGCGGCCGGAGCGGACAGAATGTTGATGCAATCGTATTCGCACTTGTTTTGTCGGTTTTCTATTCTAGTGAGAAGGACGCGGATGAAGAACGGGGAACGCTCATGGGGCCAAGTGCTTGCTTGCTTGCTCGGTCGGCCGCTCGGATTGTCGGACGGCCGGTTCCCCGATCCGACATCGTGCGAGCTGAGCGAGAGCCGCACTGGGCGGAGTCCGGTCATTGCTGCTGGTCGTTTTCGATTTGTTTGCCGAGTTCAATTGTCGCACCCAAGACGCAAAAAGACGAAATTGAGAAGGGATTGAAACACTCCATCACACTGAGTTAGAGAGTTTCTCGGGTATTCCAATCCGCCGTAAAGGCATACCGGGATCCTGAGTCGTATATCCACGCACGACTCTTTGGCGAAGATTCGTATTAGTGGCATAAGGAGTGACTCTCATTCCGACTGACTTGCTCGTATGTTGATACATATGAGAAGCGCACAATCGTTCTTGTCTCTTCAAAATCCTACCCCTCGGACGCACTACAGCTCCTTCTTTTCCGTCGCCTCTGAGAGGAGGCGTCCTACTTTGTTCGGGTTGTCAGTAAGTAAAATAAGCGCGGAAAACATAGAGTCACAGAAGCGCGTCGCTCAGACGTGCTACGGGAGCTGCAGGTTCCGACGTTGCTAGGAAAACATCGCCGTCAAGGAGCGCGCTGATGGCGATTCTGCGGAGTATCATTTGAGGGAATTGCCGCTCCGATTCAGTCTCTAGAATCCGATATGGGTTTTGGGTAAGGCTCTGAAGTCGGAGGATCACTTCCTACGGCGTCTTCGAAGCTGAATTGTGTGGGTCCGCTTCTTCGAGAGACAGTGTCGCACCTGGTGGATATCGGACACCCTAGGGGCTTCGTGAACCCTTGATTTTGACCGGTATTCCTACCAGCGCATTGATATTCCACCAACATTGATCTTCATTTCACCTCATCTACATAATTTCTTCGAGAGCTCGCACACCAGAGCGCGGGACCGAATCTCAGGTGGAGAGTTCTCCTTCGGTGCGTTCCCACATAGGGACCAAGACTCCGGAGTCTGCTCGTGCCGTGAGAGAAATCCGTTCTGGCCTTCAATGAGTCACATGACCGTGGAGGCTCCAGGTTAGCGATAAGCGGCAGAATCAAGATTGTGCTCTTGTCTCTACGATTGCATAAGGGCGCTGTCCGTTGTTCCTCCTGCGAAGCCTTTCGAGCCCATGCCGCAAGGCTCGGGACTTTACAACGATCGGGATGATCTCCCGTGAATGAAACGCGAGCTACTTTCGGAATCAGACGACTCCGTCCTATATCTCGTCCCAATCTCAGCAGACCCTCGTGGATTCTGTTCTTCAAATCCATCACAGGAGGAAGACCACTCCTCGTCGACCTTCCCGTGTTGGGCTTTCGTTTCTTCTCCGCGATCGCTCTGGATCTCCGGACGATCCAACGTCGGACTTCGTCGGCTCACTCTCAATATCTTAGTCAGATGGCGTGGTTCGATAAGGGAAACGTGAAGACCAGGGAGAGGTGAAATGAAGATAAGAGTAAAACTTAAGATGCCGTCCGACTGATGCCGCTGCTTCAACTGCCTGTGCTAGTTGCGGTGAAGCTGAGTCTTTTCCCTCCATCGTTCAGCGGCCGAAAATAAAAGCAGCAGCCCCTATAGGGAAACTGAGCTGTTATCGGCGAGCTGAGGCCCTCTGCCTCACTGCCTGAGTGAGTGAGTGGCTGTCTGTTCGAATGCGTGGCTCAATGCCTGACTGCCCAACTGTATACCTCGCTGGCTATTCACCAGGCTGTGAGAGGCCAGATGGAGCGGGCAACGCGATAAGCTAATGCTCATAGAAGTGAGGTGACGCAGCTACGGTGTACATTGTATCTCCTGTGATGGAAGTTTTAATTTTGCTATCGGCTCTGGGCTCTGCTCCAGGTCTGAGACTGCCAGGCTCAAGTTGTCTATATTGGACAGAGTGCTCGAGCTTTGAGCTCGGGCGAGAATCGAGGCTCTCTTCGGAAGTACCCGCTCCGGGAATCGGAATCTAGATTCGGAAGTCCATTATTGTGAGCTCAATGGCTGTGAGTCTTAAGCATTACCGCAGGATGATGAATCCCGATACACGACATCGCGCTCTGAGGTACACTTCCCTCGGGTATCAAGAATATCTTGTGGCGTTCACCTCTTCTCGATCGAGAGCTCTTGCCCGGCCTTGGTCCGAACGAGTTGTACTTCGAGCCCTGCCTTTGCTCAAACGACGCGGCTTTTCTTTCCCGGATCGCTGCTCCGTATGCCAACGAGAGATACGCAGGTCACAGCGTGCGCTCGAAGGAGAAATACTTCCACGTCGCTTGTGTCAGCTGTCTCTCGCCATGTAACCGCTGACGACGGACGGACTTCATGCTTGGGAATCGACAGTCCGATCCCGACTCGCCCCATCTGACTCGTATTCAGATATCGTGGAAAATAATAAGACCTCCCGGCTTCCTGGCGGAGCGGCACGGGAGCCGGAATATGAGCATAATCGCGTAGTTGAGCTGATCCTATCGGGGATATTGACCCACAGACACGAAGACTTTTACTTTCTTGATATCAATCGAGGGCTCATGGTAGGCTCCGACGCCGCGCCGGCTGCGTTGCGTGGTGATTTTGAGCCGCGAACATCAGGAAACGCCGAGCCGCCTGTGTCAGAAAGTTGGAGCATTGTACCGAGGACGGATCCGGAGAGCAAATGGGCCCGGGACGATCGAGGCCGAGTACGGGCGGTCCCACCATCCGTCAGATCACCCGGCTGAGCTTGAACTCCGCGGGTATTGCTTTCGGAATTGCTTCAAAAGACGGGTCCAGGGAGACGATGTTCCTCGCACTAGAGCCCAGACCCCCATCGATGTGTCTCCATGATTCTGCGCGGACCAGATCCCCACGGACTGCAAGGGCCGCTAATCTCGGCGTCGAATTGTCTTGCGTTCCGGTTCTTGAGCTCTCTGTAAGTTCTCCGAAGAAGCTCCGCGCCGGAATATGCGGGAAATCAAGTCGAAGCCAGATACCTACATATCTTGCCGGCAGAATGGCTCTAGCTCATTGTGGCTGAATCAGTGCTTCCCAGAGGGATACAGATCGACTACGGGGACTCGCGAAGTTTCTCAGGCCCCCGAAGGATCCAGAGAGTTGAGTACCCTGGGGTATCCTGCATACAGAGCTCCGGGTCCATGAACGATGGTCGGCGCGGCGGTTTCCAGCTCGAAAGAGTTCGGGGAGCTCTCGCCTCGGATATAATTTCGGGTAGGAGGACGCGGAAAAATTCTCGACCGGATATGCCCTCATCCGGGATTTTAGGCTCTATGAGTATTCTGGGGAGCGAAAACGATTCGCTCGCCGATCTTGATTTTGAAATGAACCTATCTCAAGCTGGGTAATGAGCCCCGCAGTGTGGCTTTCGCGCCTCGATTAAAATTCCAACATTACAGCCGAGTCTCAACAAGCGCCCTGGATTAGTATGCTCGAATTGCGACACAAACAACACGACCCTGTGGAGACGGAACAATCAAGGCGAACCTGTCTGCAATGCTTGCGGTCTTTACTACAAACTGCACGGGGTAAGTCCATGGGGGAATTCTGAAGTTTGACTCATGAACACGCCAGTTTACGTATCTGACAGACCCGAGTGAGGTTGGCAGAACGATAGAATCATTCTCTACATAGATTTCTTTACGATTCGAGGCCATTCCGAAATCGCCGAGCGCAATGACGCTAGCGAATGTCGGAAGCATCGCTGTCTTGCATCATTGCGAGTTTCCATCTGACTGAGTCCCTGATGAAGCCGGCCAGAATCATTCGCTCGCTCCATTCGGATTCCTCGACAAGAAGTTCCCTCAGCACTCGCATCAATAGAGGTTCAGGTCGGGGAGGTGCTGAAAATCTCACCCCACTGAGCGTAGAGCGGATTACCGGATATAGGGGCAGCCCTCCTCAATCTGATGTAGATTCACACATCTCAATCGCGAGAAATTTCCGGGGCCATGTATGCTCACTGCATCAGGTTGATGAGCGCTGAATCCATGGGGAGACCTGCACGACTTCAGGCTCATCGTAATGCGTCTTGAGCGACTCGAGAGGCTTCAGAGGAGATCCGCGCACGTAAAGCTCGAGCCCAATACCCGCCATACTCGTTACCTATGGGAATTCATTGAATAGCATTCTCTCGTACTTCAGGTGAACCGTCCGGCAGCAATGAAGAAGGACGGAATCCAAACGAGGAAACGAAAACCGAAGAGTGTGGAAGGAAACACACCGAAAAAGAGCGTCGGTAAGAAATCGGCGACTACCGCTGCTGGCTATGGGAGCTTGATGTCTTCCATGCGACATCAGAGCGCACCTCACCAGTTCTTCCCCTCCGAAATGGTCGGCTACCAGCTACAGGGACAGCATGGATTAACCGATCTGAGACTACCTCGTACAAGTCCAGGAGGTGGGTTTTCACCCTTTTCGCGCTGGTTCAGAGTATATCCCTCAATTATCCCACCGTGCTTAGATTTCACTCGAAAAATATAAAATATGGCTGGCGTGCTTCCATCGTGATCTCGCGAGTTTCTCAATAGCTCGCAATTTTCTTCCGCGATCAACTAGACTTCCGCAGTTGTGCCGACTATCCGGTATCGTCGGGAACCCCCGTCAAGCCACGTACGGCGTTCGATAATTTTTTGCACACTTCCGTTACAGCTCATTCAACTGGATCGGCTTCCGGATCGTACAGTTCCGTCCTACGGCAGGATTCCAATTCGGATCTCTCCGTCATGAGCCCCGACGATCACCATACCCTTTCGCATCGCGTGGGCTCCCTATCTTCGCCGAATGCTCTTCTGACTAGTCATTTGCATTCCTTAAGTATCACAGCTCACCCTCTGGATCAGCACGGTGGTCATATCCACGCGTATCCGCCTCCAAGTACGCCAGTCAGCGCTGCATCCCAATTCTCAACTCCTGGCCTCCAACGCCACCAAACACCACCGTCCGTATAGAAGAATGAAGCCCTTTAGTCTGGTAGCACTCTGTGACAGCCCGGAATGTACTCACTTCTGAAGATCGAGGAGAATAAGGCAATGCGCTCCGGGAAACTCGCCAGGAAGAGCGTAATAGGATTTTTCTTCCAATTCGATTGTAACCTGCTGAAACCATATCGGAGCCAGTACACACAGCATACGAAACCCAGAGCGCCACAGCAGAAGCAGCCAATCGCATCCTGCGCATAGATACGTGTATGTAATTTCTCCGACTGCGTTCGTCCTTTCTTACGTAAATAGATGGAAATATAAATCTACTTCCAAGGATGTGGAAGTATTAATTGATGCCTTATGTCGGAGCATCGTATGATCTTGGCAGAGAGAGAATCGGTATCAGTGACGTTGGTGGTGATGATAACGATGGAGATGGAGATTGAGACCAGAATCATGGATACGATTACGCGGTTGCGATGAGAGTGATTATAAATACCACTATTTCAAGTATGGCGGGTATATTGTAGCAAGTGCTTGTATCAGCGATAGATCGAGCCGATAATAAATTGAGCCCGAATGAGCAGCGGAACATGAAGGAAATCATCATTCATGCCCGGAGGATTCCTTTTTCTCCCCCCTCCTGGCATCGGTCTCTCCACGTTTTCCGGAACGATTTCTAATATTCACAAATGAATTTCTAATACTCACACTATATATCACGACACTCACGCCATCCTCTGGATCTGCGACACTACTCTTCGGAATACGGGCTTGTCAGGGAGGGAATCGTTGGAGGTTTTCAGGTGGGAAGGATGATGAGGGAAGTGGTCGACCACCCTGGAGATCGCGGGCGAATGGTGACTTGAAAGGGACTGGCTGGTCGTAAAAAGAGTTCCATAACTCACAAAACACCGAAAATATCCTAAAGCATGGGCACCTCCGATGTCGAACCTGCAGCCTTCAATCATCGCGCCCTCGTGAGCTATCCGAGTCAATCCAATTCCACCTTGAAACTCTATCCTTGGAGCTCGACACAAAGCTCGAACGACCCCGCCAGCTCATGAGGATGCGATAATGGAAGGTTTCAAAGTCGACATTGGGGATGCCCGTCCATCTTAGCCTCCACAGTGTTTTCCATCATCATGCCGGCGTATACATCATTTTATCCGGGAATACAGATAAATTAAGAAGGACATATACGATTTCCCCTCAAGCATGGGGCGACTCCTCGCTCGCTCGAGATTTTAGTCTGTTCGCTCGCTGGCCGATAGCCGGGGATTCCCTCAGGCTTCTCTGGTTCAGGCTAGGGCTCTGAGCGCGGACGAACGACACTAAGACCTGGCGGAAAGAGTTCCAGAGATCGTTTGACGAGCCTGCTCGCTTCCTTCCTTCCTACCTCCCTCTCAGCTCCAAACATGGAAAAGAGACGGACCAGACTCACTGAACGCCACCATAGGGCAGGCACGAAGTAGGGTCGAGAGAGCCGCTCGTGTGGCGATGCATTGATGACGACGACGGCTGCCTCGGAAGCACCAAGACTGCCTACGGTCAGTGTGTGGGCAATCCGAGGAGATAATTTCCCTCTGACTACTTCTTACCCCTTTTTGGTCCGCCATCGGCGAGACTCTCTACTTTGTTTAACTCTACTTTGAACCGTGATGCGGGATACTGCGCAGTCATCGATGGTTCTCGTGGCAGGGTTGGCGTTTCGCTTGTGATGAAGTATACTGATTAGGTACTCTTATTTTCAATTATCGTTTGAGACGGTTGTTCGAGAAGAATCCGCTCAAGGATTTTCATCGACATTATCTATGGAAAAATCTCTCTCTGAGCGCCGCTAACAGACTTTCAAGTACAGAGATTCGTGTACGGGTTCTCTATCCGAGTAATTACGTTTATGACTTCAAAGAGCCGAGCCATTTCAAACAAGGGTAATTGGTCATGAACTACCCCCAATGCCGCCCCGTATTCTGATTCACAAAAGTTCGACGTTGCTCAGTCGATTGTTCAGATTACGTGCAATATCTGATTGACAAGAAGCTTGAAGACGGGATGTTCCTGAGCGTCCGCAATGGAGCTTCGCTTGACGTCGTTCCGACGATCTCATCGTGACCCCATGATCGTTTGCTTCGATAATCGCTCCTGGAGACTTCCCACGGTTTCGAGTAGAGATACTCCAATCCACATCCCGACGTATCCACCCAAGAATCCAAGCAGTTCCACGGGCTGAAAGATTATTGTGCATAGATTGGATGTGTGTCTCGATTAAATCGAGGTATATTCGCTTGCGGCCTCACGGTCCTCTGACATGTGCGCATCAGAAAATGAACCCATGACGTACAGAGGTCATTCGTTGCTCCTTGCTCACTTCAGTACGATCTGAATAGAACTCCAGTTTGAGCTTGTATGCTTTCGGTGGGGACAGAGATGTTCCATTAGAATCACTCGGCGTTGGAGGAAGGTCGCGCAGAGACCAGACTTTCACATCATAGCTTATATCTCTGCGGGGCAAGCAGTCTTACGCTTAGTATTTCGGCCTATCAATCGACCCTGCGGCGTTTGTGAGACCTCTCGCCGGCTTTCAAGAGCTCTCATTTCGTCTCGCAGCAAGGATTTGTCGACTCACAAGCAATTAACGTCACAGTTTTCGACGCATTTCTGTATCCGATCAGTTGCGGCAATACTCCGGAAACATCGAACTGCAGGGGGGTATGGAGTTATGCTTGAGTTAATCTATGCTACGAATGTCATAGAGCATCGGATGTCCCCAAATGGAGGAGTCGCTTCCTTTCCATCACAGTCTCACTCACCGGCCAGAATCGCATTGCACATGGGCAGCTGTCGAGCTATAGTCTCCGCGTACTCATGAAGGATCAGAACACAATTACAAATGTCCATCTCGGCAGCAATGACGCACTTCTGTATGCAGTATTCGCGACTTTCGAGCCCGAAGTATTTATCGTCCATATCGGCGTATTGGCGGCATTTTGAGGAGAACGGACGCTTCAGACGTTCCGTCGCAATCTACCAAGCAAATAAATCATGGTTTCTCACTCAGGGCATTTCCTCTTGCGAAGCTGCAGCGACTTTACCAAAGGGGAGAGAAGAGAAACAACAGCAATGACGCGCTTCCCCATGCGTCCGGCGATCGCCTTCAAAGAGGTTCTTCATTCGACGAGCTCCCCGACTCAGATCGGGAACCCAAGAATCCGCTCCCCGGGCCTATTCATCCGGTTCGCGATTGCTGTCTCTGATTCTCCAATATTAAGCGAATCAATCGAAGTACACGAAGAGAGCCTGGTTCCATCGAGGGGACACCGAATCACGGCGGGCATCTTGCACCTGAGAGAGCAAGGAATGTATTCCTCACGTCACCTGTCTAACGCCGATCCGCAAGTCTCTCCCTGTTGGCAAATCCACGACGGTCTGCTTTGCTGGCATCGCGAGACCCGGTCCTTGGACGAAAAGTCCCGCGTCCATGAAGTCCGAAGCCAAGGAAAGCGTTCGATCACTCCATTCGGAAGAGAGTTCGAGACCTGGAGCGAGAGTGTTTTACCCTCAAAGCGGATCGGAGAACTAAGACTCCTGGTTCGAAACTTACGATACGACCAGGCGTGTTCGCACTTGCGATAAAAATGCCTCGTGGGTAAAAATTGAAGTAGATCCATGGTGTAGCATTGATGTCGAGGCTGCCTAAAGTAGGTGGGTTTCATGCTGGAACGAGAGTTCATAAGATGATGACGATCCCCCGAGCTGTCCTGTATGGAGAGGCTTGCACTGCTGCCTCGGAGCCCATTGGATAACAAAAACATACAAATCGACGCAGTCGAAACTCGGGCAGATCTTCGACACCATTCGACACTTGAATAAATCCCGAGCTTCGAATCTCACAAGCTTTCTGATGGTTGCGTTGCCTTGGAAGTGGTAGAAGCCGATTGTCAGCATCTTGAAACAGAGAAGCAGATCTCATTGAGCTATATTCCAGCCATTCAACCGTCCCATTCAGGAGGCTCCGTTCGTACTTACCTGACCTTCGACTGTACAGAACCGGGGATCTCTTTCGCATTGCTCTCTGCCTCGATCGAACCAGTTCTCCGGGCAAATCGTGACAGAGGGGAAAAGAATCTCTCTGGCTACTCTCCTGTCGAATATCACTACTTCGTAGGGGTAATCGAGAAATGAAGACAGGGACTCCCGAATCTGAAATCCAAGCCCACTCAGACACAAGACGACTATCAGGCACCATCGTAGTCGATGACCGACGACGTCCCAAGCCGGGAGGCCGAAACGTTTGTTCGGTCTTGAGCGGACTCTCGAAGGGGTTATCATTCTCATCTGTGGAGGCTGCACAGGATCTGATTTAAACGACGCTTTGCGGCGATTCTCGACTTCGACGGGATCCGGGCCCTCCTCCTCATGAATAATCTGCCTGCACGGCTTAGATGTAATGAGGATCGATCCCGAATCCGCTATGGATCATTGCCTGAGACAAGTTAACTGAACGTGGTATTTCAGAAGATCCTCGGATCGATGCAACCATCAATATTCAGTCTACCCGGAATGCTTTTTTGTACTCAATCTTCTCTAGCAAAGTTAATTTTATGCCAACAGCTCGAGGGAATATTTTCCTCGTGAGACAGGCTCATGATCTTCCTCTCCTCTGTGGTCCACCCCGGGAGAGATCCAATGCCCACACATACTGATACATAGGATGGACGCGAGAGCGGCACGTGACCGAAGCTAAGTCTGCAAATCACATCAAGGGCCGCTTCATTGAGACAAAGCCTCGAGTTCCTCATTGGTCACGGAACTTGAGACAGGTGATTGTTCGCACCCGGACCTGGTTACGGCGTTGGTGACATCCCATTCATGATTCGATTTCAGGCCTCCCCATTGCGATGATCCTGGGCGGCGACGGACCCCGCGGAGTGGAACCCCAGTGAGAGTCACATCGAGTAGATGGAACGTGCAAATTGCAGTTTATTGTCCTCCATTGATGTTAACTGGGTCTTTATAACAACTTAGAAGCGTGCGAGCGATAACGAAAAATATAAAGCACACATCCAAAGCACTGCAGTGCGCAGATGGTAAGCAGCTGACGAGTGTTGCGGGCAACTGGTGCGCAAGGGCATTCCGATGTGGCTCCGACTGTGCAGATGTTTAGAAGCATTTCCTGTGGACGATGGCAGGTCCAGACTCATCGTACTCCTCCTTGGAGATCCACATCTGTTGGAAGGTAGAGAGGGAGGCGAGAATAGATCCACCGATCCAGACGGAGTACTTCCTCTCGGGCGGGGCGATGATCTTGATCTTCATGGTCGAGGGAGCGAGGGAGGTGATTTCCTTCTGCATACGATCAGCGATACCAGGGTACATCGTGGTTCCACCGGACAAGACAGTGTTGGCGTACAGGTCCTTACGGATATCGATATCGCACTTCATGATCGAGTTGAAGCAGGTCTCGTGGATACCGCAGGATTCCATTCCGATGAAGGAAGGCTGGAAGAGAGCCTCAGGACAACGGAAACGCTCGTTACCGATCGTGATGACCTGTCCGTCGGGAAGTTCATAGGACTTCTCGAGGGAGGAGGATGAGGCCGCGGTGGCCATTTCCTGCTCGAAGTCCAGGGCGACATAGCACAACTTCTCCTTGATGTCACGGACGATTTCACGTTCAGCGGTGGTGACGAAAGAGTAACCACGCTCGGTGAGGATCTTCATCAGGTAATCGGTGAGATCCCGACCGGCAAGATCGAGACGGAGGATGGCGTGGGGAAGAGCGTAACCCTCGTAGATGGGCACGGTGTGGGAAACACCGTCTCCCGAGTCGAGAACGATACCGGTGGTACGACCAGAGGCGTACAGGGAAAGTACGGCTTGGATGGCGACGTACATGGCGGGGGTGTTGAAGGTCTCAAACATGATCTGGGTCATCTTTTCACGATTGGCCTTAGGGTTAAGAGGCGGCTCGGTGAGAAGGACGGGGTGCTCCTCGGGTGCGATACGGAGCTCGTTGTAGAATGTGTGGTGCCAGATCTTCTCCATGTCGTCCCAGTTGGTAACGATGCCGTGCTCGATGGGGTACTTCAGGGTGAGGATACCTCTCTTCGATTGGGCTTCATCCCCTACGTAGGAGTCTTTCTGACCCATACCGACCATCACACCCTGGTGACGAGGGCGACCGACGATGGAGGGGAAGACGGCACGGGGAGCATCGTCTCCGGCGAAACCAGCCTTGCACAGACCGGATCCATTGTCCACGACAAGGGCGGCTACGTCGTCGTCACACATTTTGGAAAGGTCCTACGTTGATGACTGCCACGGGACACCGAACTCACCGATTGCCTCAGCAACACTGGCAAGGAGATTCTTGTTTTCCGCTTAAATACGACCGAACGCCCCCTAGCGGGCCCTCCCACCAGGACAAAAATGGTCCCAGAGACTCTCAAAAGATAGTCTACACTATACTAGACGACCGGCGGGAGATAGCTTCTCGCAACCGAAACTCAACAGTAGCAAGACGTGGTCTCAGGCATTATTTGGCAACAAACTTTTGGCTTTGGCTCGCTTTGGTGGTGACCGGCACAGCCGTCGAGAGCTCGAGTTTACATTTCTCCGCGCCCAGACCGAGTGCTGTACTGAACGAGGACTCGGAGAATGGAAACAAAACGAAGGGAGGGCATTCTTTCAAAATGTTCGCTTTTGGTCAGTCACAAAAGCGTTGGAATGATACTTGAATTGCCACGCAAGAGTCTTTCCCGATAAGAGAATCTAGGATTTGTCTATCCCAGGGTCCTTCTCTGTATGAAATTACGCTCCGTCCTGCCGAGATCCGGTGACTCGAAGGGAGCCGAAGATCTGAACAGTATCCTGCCTCGCTACCCATGGCGCCGACACAAAAATTCGATGCTCAGAACTCTCTGAAAACTCAGCGTCCTCCTGTCCTAGGTCTGATTATTATTCGAACAATTGTCCCAGCGAGCCGCGCTTATTCAGCCTTGGTGGAGAACATGGGCCTTCCTTGTCACCAGAGGCTGACTGACTGACTTACTCACATAGCTTCTATCTGAGCGGATCCAAGCACATCGGGGCCTCCGAGCCGGGAAATTCTCCTTATATGGTCCTAGAGCACACCGCGAGTGTACCGCGCATGCGTGCTCTACCTAGAGGCACATGTGGAAGCATCGGACCCTTGTGGAACCGAGAACCCCCGTCACTCCAAAACTCGATACCGCTCAGTCAAGTCACCGACAATACCAGCTCTCGCGATGTGTGACGAAGATATCGCAGCTCTGGTCGTGGACAATGGATCCGGAATGTGCAAAGCTGGATTCGCTGGCGACGACGCTCCGCGTGCTGTGTTCCCCTCGATCGTGGGTCGTCCTCGACATCAGGGCGTCATGGTTGGAATGGGACAGAAGGACTCCTACGTAGGAGACGAAGCCCAATCCAAGAGAGGCATTCTGACCATCAAGTATCCTATTGAACACGGTATAGTGACAAATTGGGACGATATGGAGAAAATATGGCATCACACATTCTACAACGAGCTGCGTGTGGCTCCCGAGGAGCACCCCGTTCTGCTCACCGAGGCTCCCTTGAACCCGAAAGCAAATCGGGAGAAGATGACTCAAATCATGTTCGAGACTTTCAACGTGCCCGCGATGTACGTCGCCATCCAAGCCGTACTTTCCCTGTACGCTTCTGGTCGTACAACCGGTATCGTTCTCGACTCAGGAGACGGTGTTTCCCATACCGTGCCCATCTACGAGGGTTACGCTCTTCCCCATGCCATTCTCCGTCTCGATCTTGCCGGTCGAGACCTCACCGATTACCTGATGAAGATCCTCACCGAGCGTGGTTACTCTTTCGTCACCACCGCTGAACGTGAAATCGTCCGTGACATCAAGGAGAAGTTGTGCTATGTCGCCCTGGACTTCGAACAGGAAATGGCCACCGCAGCTTCATCTTCCTCCCTCGAGAAGTCGTATGAACTCCCCGACGGACAGGTCATCACGATCGGTAACGAGCGTTTCCGTTGTCCTGAGGCTCTCTTCCAGCCTTCCTTCATCGGAATGGAATCCTGCGGTATCCACGAGACCTGCTTCAACTCGATCATGAAGTGCGATATCGATATCCGCAAGGACCTGTACGCCAACACTGTCTTGTCCGGTGGAACCACGATGTACCCTGGAATTGCTGATCGTATGCAAAAAGAAATCACAGCCCTTGCTCCGTCGACGATGAAAATCAAGATAATCGCTCCCCCTGAGAGAAAGTACTCCGTCTGGATCGGTGGTTCGATTCTAGCGTCTTTGTCCACTTTCCAACAAATGTGGATCTCTAAACAAGAATACGACGAGTCCGGTCCGGCTATTGTCCATCGCAAATGTTTCTGATTGGGTTGATGACGATCAACGCCGAGAACACGCCTCATCACGAACTTCTGTACATAAAGCATGAAACATCCGGTCACCGTCAACTGGCGAGGATTTGTAGCGCATTGAAGTGGAAATAAATCACGCAGCTCAAGATTCGCGCAGAGTCGAAATTCGGAAAACCTAACGCCCGACGGGCTCGAGCTTGGCTCGCGGAAGAGTGGGTGCCATGAAAGCTGACTCGGGAATTTTAACTGTGTTATTGCTCTCGTCCATTTCTCCGCTTAGACTCCGGAGAATCAATGAGATGATGATGTTGCCACATTGTCTCACGGCGGTAGAGGATTTTGAGCCCAAAATTACAGATGGGAAGCATGCCCAGACCCAGAAATTGGAAACCCACAGCTATGGACTAGGAGGAAATGATTCCAGCTGCTGTAGCTCCGTAAGAGCTCTCGCTTTCTGACTGAGAAGCGGGGGAACGGGCGTACTACGCCTTCTTTGCTTGAGCAACGAACGATGATCATTCATGAAGGTTGTCCGCGTCGTTGGATCATGAGAGTCGATGTAGTGTTCTGAGCGTGGCGATTCCGAACCGTCGAGTTAGAGCGGCGCCCGAGTTAGAGCACAGTCGCTTGTTTCAGGAAGATTATACTTTTGAGCGTCTGAATGTGGCTGTCGGCCGCCCTTACAAGCACAACAGCAAGCCGGTTCTCTGGTTTGGCCTGGCCAAGCTAGGCCATGTGGCGCTGCTCTTGGGTTAGACTCATCCTCGAACTGCTCAGACTCGCGCACTGAGCCATTTTGGGTAGTTCGAGTAGAGCTTGTGAGAGGGCTACAGTCACCAGAGGGCGTGGGATGCTTTTGTATAAAGCACATCTCTCACCTCAGACCGTTTACTTCACAGTCGATTAGGAAGTGTTGCTGTCCCTGCCGGCCGGAATTCTCCGCAGACATGTGTGACGACGACGTAGCAGCCCTCGTTGTGGACAACGGATCCGGTCTGTGCAAGGCTGGTTTCGCCGGAGACGATGCTCCCCGTGCCGTCTTCCCCTCCATCGTCGGTCGCCCTCGTCACCAGGGTGTGATGGTCGGTATGGGTCAGAAAGACTCCTACGTAGGGGATGAAGCCCAATCGAAGAGAGGTATCCTCACCCTGAAGTACCCCATCGAGCACGGCATCGTTACCAACTGGGACGACATGGAGAAGATCTGGCACCACACATTCTACAACGAGCTCCGTATCGCACCCGAGGAGCACCCCGTCCTTCTCACCGAGCCGCCTCTTAACCCTAAGGCCAATCGTGAAAAGATGACCCAGATCATGTTTGAGACCTTCAACACCCCCGCCATGTACGTCGCCATCCAAGCCGTACTTTCCCTGTACGCCTCTGGTCGTACCACCGGTATCGTTCTCGACTCGGGAGACGGTGTTTCCCACACCGTGCCCATCTACGAGGGTTACGCTCTTCCCCACGCCATCCTCCGTCTCGATCTTGCCGGTCGGGATCTCACCGATTACCTGATGAAGATCCTCACCGAGCGTGGTTACTCTTTCGTCACCACCGCTGAACGTGAAATCGTCCGTGACATCAAGGAGAAGTTGTGCTATGTCGCCCTGGACTTCGAGCAGGAAATGGCCACCGCGGCCTCATCTTCCTCCCTCGAGAAGTCCTATGAACTTCCCGACGGACAGGTCATCACGATCGGTAACGAGCGTTTCCGTTGTCCTGAGGCTCTCTTCCAGCCTTCCTTCATCGGAATGGAATCCTGCGGTATCCACGAGACCTGCTTCAACTCGATCATGAAGTGCGATATCGATATCCGTAAGGACCTGTACGCCAACACTGTCTTGTCCGGTGGAACCACGATGTACCCTGGTATCGCTGATCGTATGCAGAAGGAAATCACCTCCCTCGCTCCCTCGACCATGAAGATCAAGATCATCGCCCCGCCCGAGAGGAAGTACTCCGTCTGGATCGGTGGATCTATTCTCGCCTCCCTCTCTACCTTCCAACAGATGTGGATCTCCAAGGAGGAGTACGATGAGTCTGGACCTGCCATCGTGCACAGGAAATGCTTCTAAGGACGCCGGTGAATTGTTGGACTCTGTCATCCGCATCAGGAAACTTCGTCATCCGCATTCCGAAGGCTGCGAAGAGCTTCACGTCTCTCCGCCTTTTGCGGCTTCACGACCGTCACGGCTTACGTACACTTATCTTGTATATTCGTGGGCATTCCTCCGATTCGAGCAGATGCCGAATCAACCAACAGGATGCCGTTCCCCATGAAGCGGTGAATGTGTTATGCAAGATGTGAAATAAATTTTGGCACCGCCCAGTAGGTGCGATTCGACTGCCAATACATCGTGATGTCTGTACATGATATATTTTCAGGACTCCCCCGTGACCGACATGTCATCCAGTAATTGGCATTAGGTAGTCGTCCGCAAGGAGGATATTCGGCAATGACGGTGGTCCCCCGGAGTATCGATGGCGACGCGTCTCGATCGAGACCCAGATCATACCTGGGGCCCCGAGCGCCTGATTTCCCCGAGTCGATGCAATTTTCAGTTCTGAATGCGCCCAGCGGCAAGTCTCCGGCGAGGCGCGAAGATGGAGTAAGATTGACTGACTCATGCCTTTCGCTGATGCTCCTCTCATCTAGCAGGCGTGAAATAATTTGTCACAACTCACAACGGACACTCCTCCATTTGGCTTTCTCAAACGAGAAGGGGGTACTCAGGATTCCAGGGCAATCTTTTGCAACTCTTCGAGCCCCGCGACAGTGTGTGCTAGCAGCTAGCTGATTGACTCGCTTCCTCGTACACCACACTGTCTGAGAGCCAGAGCTGACCAGAACTGACTCGAACTGTACAGCCCCGTCCAATGGTATAGCCTGTGGGGGAGTTGTACCGGAAAAACTCCCTGTGGAATCTCAAGAATCCTTCCCCGATTGCGGGTCATATCTTCGAGGAAGGTCAACCCCTTATCCTCGATGCGAATGGATACTATACATCGGCATGGGAGGCGTTTTTCGAGGCATTCGAGAAGCTCGTCATTCTTCCAATCAGCTCTCTGAGGCATGCGGAATTCAGGCCGCATTCCGAGCATAGCCTGAGCAGGCCTCACCGAACTTCTCGCTTACCATCGCGGAGAAGAGCCCACGTGCGCATTTCTCATCTCCATCATCGTGGGTATGAATTACCATCTCCTTCGGCCCAGCCGCTCTCGGTATCTGCGTTGTCGTTGACAAGCATGCGATTCTGGTGCAATGCATGGTTCGATTTCGAAATAAAGCTCATCCTGATTCGACCCTCGCCACGAGTTTTGAGTCGTCAGCTTTATTTCCGGAACGAGCCTAACAAAGAGGCCTTTTAAGGAGGGTTTCGGCATTGCCCTCACGTGAACCGCTCGACTTTGTAAACGACTCTATATCTAGTGGTCCACCAAGTTTGGTTCGCGGCAGAGAATTCCCTCTCCACGTTTACTGTGTGAGCGTGTACTCTATAAATATAGGGTGGTGAGCTTCGAGATTCTAGCTTTTGAGAGTGCTCTCCCTGCTCTGTTCCGGGCCCACTCTGGTCTAAGCGAGTCGGGGTATGTGGCGTCGGAGAAGCCGCTCTTGTCGTGGGATCCGGTCTAGAGGAATCCATTCCTGCGAAGCGGAGCGCAGTGATGATTTCTGCTCTACCTAGAAAGGAAATAATTTAGAGGCTCTCCTCGGGCGGACGATCATGAAAATAATGTCGAAGGCCTTGTCCCCATCGAAAATCAATGTTCCTGGAGAATGGGGGTCTATAGCTCAGTCAGAGGTCCCCACAGCAAGCACAGTATCTAGACTTTGCACGCCGAAGTTTAGACTTCAACATATTCTTCCGGTCTTTTGACAGAGGCTTGCTTTCACCCGGTGATCCTCCTCGTTGTTCCCCCATTAACATTGGGCTGGAACGGTGAGCCGCGGAGCATCGCATTGTTGGCTCCGGAAGGATTTGGAGTAGGTACGACCAGGGACGGCACCCGTGAGTAGCCCTTGGTCGCGCTATTCCGTTACTACAGGTGACGTCCTCGCCGCAGGCTCCGGTCCTTGGCTATAAGCTATGCCTATCCCAATCCCGAAACGATCCATGTTATTAGGCCCGATCCGAGAGGGAGGGAAGCGGTATTTTTCGCCCCAGACTCCGAGTTTCCGCAGGCCCCCCTTGCACAGAGCATCGTGGAATTTGCCGATCAGCGTCTGATATCTCTCCTCTATCGAGCTTGAAGGCGTATTTCTCCGCAAATTGTCGAGATTCCCTCTCGACATACGAAAATAAGAGATATGAGACGATTATACAGAGGGGCCCCGTCCGAGTTTTCTTCCGGGTTCAGAATTTCTGTCCGTGGCCCTGCATGTTATGATCGGATCTTTGAGTCCCGTCCCTCGACAATCACGCCAGCGATAGTTAACTACCTTACTCAAACGAGTTTTCGTCGAGATCTCATTGGACCAGCCGGCCATTCTTTCCGTATGCCGCTCAAGGTGCTAAAACTCGGAATTCCCTTAAACTGGATATTTGGTCGTAGACCAGTCTCGATGGGGGTGTCGGGGAGAGTCGACACAGATATATACGGGCCTCTGAGCTCGAAGCCAGGCTTATCCTGACTGTCCCTTCCGGATGCGGCTTCGGAACTGCGAACCGGACCGACAGCATCCGTCATGTTTTGATCGAATTCTCCTTCGCACTCAGGGTCACCGTTGGTTTTCGAAGCGGCGGACCCCTCTGCTGAACAGAGCAGTCGATATTCCCAGTGGATATATCAATATTCATAGAAACCTGATACGCGAAGTGAGTGATATTAATTGCGATCCTTTTCGTATACGCCTCATGCCGAAGCGTATCAGGCGTAAGTCTGAGCTTCCCCCATCAATGGCGAGAGAAGATGCATTGATGCCTCTGGAACCAAGATATTCGCGGTCCGGTCTTCTCTGAGACCCTGTCTTATCTTTGTAGAGCATGAGCTGTGGAGGGGAGGTGAGGCCGCGGGGGGAATGGAATGCCCCGAAGTATGGCGGTGACCTGATGATTGTCAGTATCATCAATATCGTACGAAATTCCTTCTCCGATAAGCTTGACGCCCAGGGTGGGGTAGTCAACATTCTAGGGAAGGATCGGCGTAGTTTCGAAGTTTATAATATACCAGACTTTTTCTAATACGACTGATCCCGGAGTTCGACTGCATTAGTAATCGAATGTGAAGCAACCGAGTGCCGTTGAGGAATACAAGTCTTGCCTGGAGATGAAAGACTGCTATTGATCAGATAATATAAGATCAAATATGCATTACAGGGAAACCGAATCGAGAGCATGGCAGTGACGATGAGAAACAGGAGCCGAGTCGCTCTCAAGTAGCAAGGCGAACCTCTCTCAACAGGAGCTTGGGATTGGAGTTCTGGAGCGTAGCCTTCTCTTATATCTTCGAATTCAAGAGTTTCCTTCTCACGCGTGATTCTGAACCGAATGATCCTAGATAACGTGGGCATGTTTTCATGAAGGCAGTATCCCATAGGGAAGACCACTGCGACGAGGTAGGACTGAGCCGAGTAGCGAGAGGAAGGAAACCTCTCTCGAAAGCTTACCTGTTCACGAGAGCCGAGAGTTAAGCTTCTCCCGAAATTCGGTTCTCATAATGCGCCCTCAAAGAATGTGAGACCGCAAGTGATGACTACGGAAGTAAGGGTAATATATCACAAGAAAATCGAATAAAGCTCGTTCGACTGCGAAAGACCAACAGGAACCGAACCCCCCCCCCTTCTGCGGTGAACGGCTGAACAAACAGCGGGGGTAGGGGACAGAATTTCACATTCCTCTGCAAAATCATTGTCGTTACCGATTCATACTATTCACAGCAGCGACGACTCCTGATCACGATCTCCACCCGTCCCTCCACGGTCGGGTGGAGACTATCCGAGTTGGGAGCGAGAGTGACCAAGCCGCTGTCGCACAGCGGGGAAGAGAACATCTCGCCCCAAAGATCTCCCGAGGTAGAGGGGAGCTTCCCCTTGAAAGAATGTGAAACCGGAACGAATAACTTTTCCAGAGAACTCCGAGAGAAAAAGAAAGAAAGCGTCAGCTCGAGCTCGAGGTGGGAGAGGGGAATTCCTTGCAGGTCGAGTTTCTGATAGATTCTTCGCTCGCTCAATTTGATTCTATCGATCCTCCAGCATGTTCGGCCATGAGCCCAAGTGAACCTGAATCCGCGTCTACGCCCCCCAACCCGGGTTTAATCACCTCACATAAACTCTTTTCAAGGGACTGCTCGCTGCCGTCGCCGGACAGAGCTCGCTCAAACAACTCACCCGACCATACGCACCGAGGGCAACTAATTGAAAATACTCCGCATCGCTCAAATTTATCGGGCTCGGATCTTCGCTCCAACTTACCGCGCTCACGTTGGACTTGCGCAAGGAGTGATCCGCCCGCAAACGTGCAAAAACCCTGCGTAGGCAATTCCACGTCGTGGAACGACGACGTCGTCTCGAGCCGTAGGTCGCTGGTTCGAATCGAACGCTCGGCCACTCCGAGAGCGGGTTTTAGAGTGGGAGGGGTTTTGCCCGAGTCTTGATTCCCTAGGCAGATATTTTCATGATGATACCTTCCCCGATTCCTGGAGGCTCTGGTTGGTCTCCTCTCCCCAAGGAGCCCATGGGAGTTATCCGAAGCCCAATGGCTCTGATTTGTTCATTCACTAGGAAGCAGAGATGAAAGGTCATATCGCGCGGCAGGGGCAGGATGTTGTAGTCGCTCAGACCTCAGACAAGCAGGGAAGTCAGTCGAGAGAGTGGTTCTCAGGGGCAAGAAGAGATACCCAGAAGATGAGCACTACAGCGATGTTCGGGAGCAGCATCGATCACGTCACGGGCTTGAGAAAAATCCACCACGTTAGCAGAGGCACGTAGCGCTTCATTGGAGCTCAGTGTATCGATTCTCATTGTCTCCAGCCACGCTGGTACTTGGATTCCAGACCAGTCAGGAAAATCATCGCCTATAACTGACAACGATCATACGTCTCGGAGCCTTCTACAAGGTAGAACGTAGCTTGGCTTGAGGGACTAATACGGTAGTCGATTAGGAATATCTAGAGATTCCTTCATAGCCCGGAAGTAACCCCTGCAAAATCAAGAAGATGGTCACCGAGCGTGAACTGATGACCTCGCTGCGAGTCCCGATGAGTTGTGGATCCTTTTGCAATGGAAGCGGAATTCTGAGTCTGAATGAGCTCTCGATGGGAACTCCGATTACTCGATACCTTCCTCTCGGATCCTTGAATGAACCCCGAATGGGTTCGACCACGGTCTCGCGGAGCTCCGATTCTGTATTCAACGCTTGCCCCCAGTCGCAGTTTCCGAGCAGCGGATGCTTTCCCTAGGAGTTTCCTCGCTAGAACAGATGAAGCCGTTGCGTTGTCGTAGAGTCGATGCACGAAGCTCACACCTATGCCGCTTCAGTCACAATAGACGTCGATGCTCGTGAACTGGATCGGGAGCCTTGACCGAAACCCGACGGATGTCATTGGTCGAAAATGGACCGACGGTTTTTGTAGAACGACCTCAGTATGGTCGACACCGAACACGCGGGCCAAGCCAGAAAAAAGAGAATATGGCCTAGCGCCAACGAGCTTGCTTCGGATACGCTGCCGTCGTATTAAGAGCGTTTGTAGATATATATAAATAGTAAATAGTATCGCGATTCAGCTCCAGAATTTTGAGCATGGTGAAAACTCGATGAATTTTCTGACTTTGAGAAGAATTCCCTCGCCTACACCCTGGGGATAGGCAATTCGATCTCAGCTATGGGCAGCTTCAGCTATCGTCTTGCTCTGAGGAACAGTCACCACATTTTGTAGTAGGTGACTCTTGCGCGGAGTCGACGAGAAAACCGATTGCACTTGAAAGCCGAGGAATTGAGCGTGAAGTCGGACTCCTTTCAAGGAACCCACTCTACCAAGAAGCGACAACGGAATGCTAAGCTACATAAGAAGAAGAGACTAAAAGTGACCAAGCTCGTCCCCGCGGCAAAGGTGACTTCCCGCTCATCGAGCTGACATCCGGAAGTTCTCGGAAATCCCAGCTTTTGTAGTTTTGGGATCAGATCGGTCTGCGTGGAGGTTTCCAGGAGCTTTCCGGAATGCGTCCGGCTGTTTCCTTAGCGAGAGCAAGAATTTTCGAGGAGAGCTCGCCACTTTCTATGAGCCGCGGAATTCGAGGAATTAATGGGAGACTCGCATCATAGCATCCTTGATGAAGCATAGATGATTGATGTCTCAAGTAGATGAACGGATATTAACACACAGACACTATCTTTTTCTGTTCGACGCCCTCTCCTGCACCCGCGGTAGCCTTGGTGAGTGAAGCGCTCGGTCTCTCCCAGCGCTCGTCGGCTTTTCCAATGGATGAGATACCGGGAAGGATCTCAGCGACCACTTCTGCGCTAGACTGGCGCCGGAAAATGTATGAATCCTGACGATTTAGTTAGCGGGCTCTACACGGTGTTCCTTGCCGCTACGTTGCTTGGCCAGCTCCGGATCAATAACTCAGCACTCGCATAATGTGGAGCCGTCGATCATCGGTTCGCTGTGATAAGTGCCGGAGTAAGGTTGGCAAATTGTGACTGTGCGACGAACTATCCAGCGACCTATGGATCTGCATGGACCCGACTAGTCTATCATTTTGTCACGACAGATCAGCTCTGCCAACGGTAGGTGAATTGCTCGCGAATGCATTCCGAGACATTTCAGTCTGCATACGTCCGTCAGAAGTCAGCAGCGTTTCCCCAACATACCAACGGCAATACGCGCTGCTTTTCGCCCACTAATAATTCCTCTTGATGAAGGTTCCATCCGAGAAGAAATAATGAGCTCGACACCTTGGTCGATTTTCCAGCTTCGCAACATTCGCCATGACGATGGTTTCATGTTTATTTGCCAGGAAAACTCGACGATAAAGATTCGATGTATCCGTCTGGATTACGCTGACGAATGTGTAGCTCCGAAGCTCCTCTCTAATTGCGACTCTAATAAGAGTCGGCGAATCGAATAACGGCTAGCGGATGAGCTCTTCCGGAGTACCGCTCGCTATTGTAGTGACGGACAATCAGTGGCCATCGGCGCGATGACTGATGTCATCGTCAGTTTCGCACTATTTGGAGGAGTCATAAATCACAGAGGAAGCTCGGATTCAAATCGCGGTACGAATATTCCGCTCCACGGTGATCCCCCAGGGCAAAGCTCCCCATCTGTACCGGAGGGCCGCGGGACACAGCTTCATGCTCGACACAGTATGGTGGCGATTTCATTCCCGCGTCCGCCGGAGACGCTCCCGTATCCTCGAGGGAAATCGATTTTGCGAGACTTCTCTGCAGGACATGGAGTATCTATACCCTGAGGGGGGTTTCGTCGATAAATGATCTCGTCAGAGCTCGCTGGCGGGTGAGAGCTTCTCAAGGTTCGAGAATGGTACATCGGAGGAAAGCTTCCATGGAAAAAAAATTGGATTGGTTTTCCCGGGGAACACCCGGTTCTGGTCCTTGCTTCCCTACCTCTATCCTCCGCAACCGCGCTGGCCTCGATGCCCGACCTTACCCCGGTCGAATTCTATCAGTGCTTGAGCATCGGAGTCTTGATCATGCACGTCAATAAATATCGATCTTCTACCTCTATTTTTCGCAATCCGCGCTTTCCTGTCTGCGCTCCGCTTCGCGGCCGGTCCCGTTGACGATGCCTCTCGACCTCTCACAGAGGCGCGATCAGCTCTAACCGGTTGTCGAGAAGAGATGTGAGTTCTCGACTCCTTCCGGCTTGAATAGCCGATCGGCGTGCTGATCAGCTCATTCTCGTCGGATTCTGTTTCATTGAATCCGTGCTGCCGGCTGCGGGGGATCCTCCAGGCTCCAGGGGAATCAAGGGTTCTCGACGCAGGGCAGCTCGTCTCATCTTCCGTGAGGATTCCTCGTGGAACAATCGATCCATCAGCACTCGGAACGACTCGATGGCGAGCCATGATGTCTGCCGAACGACTGCGAGCGATGCGAAAGAAAGCGACAGAAAATGTCACACCCCAGAAGAACGTGTGGTCAAAACCTTGACTGTTCCGACGACCTCCGGGGCGACTGTAACAGTCTGGGTGTGACCAAAAACGTTTGTGTAAGAGTTTCGTGACAGCGAGAGGGTTGACCCTATCGATAAAAGACCCAACGATGTCCAGGGATGAAAAAGTGTTGAAACGCTACTCATGGAAAGGATCAGAACCTGAAAAAATCCAGGGTATCGGTTTTGGGTAAAGATTTCCGCCTCCTACGTCGTTCGCGGAGGCGGAGAAATTTCGACTTCCGATCTTTTTAGAGAATCGCTCTGTTTTATTTATAAAACGCCGCGACCCTGATATTCTGTTTTATTCTGTTGTCGGCGTTCACCCAAAATACCTTGTTGATCGGCGACGAACAGCCCTCGAAATTAATGCAGATGAGAACCTCTTCTCCCCAAGCGCGGGGTGAATCATGAGTCTTTCGTTCCCATGAGGGACGAACGAATTACGGGGAGCCAAGAGTCGTGATCTCCGGAACGAAAGACTATAAGTACGCCCGCCGACGGCAGTCACTTGTGCTATATTTAGTCTCGGAATACGTATTCGGATCGATTATGTACCTCGGGCCGATTAAAGGAGCGACCTGCGGTGCGAATCGAACCCTTTTTTACCGAAATAGCCGTCTCCAATTCAGAACGCGTCGCGCGTCGTTGCGACTCACAAGTTTGCACAGAAAGTACAATGCGCGCCAGCTAATCGCCTCCATAACTGAGACTAGCTGAACGACTTCCAAGAAAGCACGTATGTAGATGCAAGAACTTGGGGGGCCCTCTCTTGGCAGAATGACATCAGCGAATTCTCCTCCTCATTAGTGGCTTCGATTATTGGAAAATGAACAAACCTACGGCGAGCTCAGGACATTTTTCTTGCAGATGCCGTCTCTCTACGCTCCCAATGAGTGCCAAAGGTAATTTTTCGTTTCGTCTCGAGTCTGATACGACGACTCTCGGTGCGCTGTGTAGATCGGAGTATGCTAGTGGTATAAATAATGAGTTTCTCTTCTCATCGTTGAGCGGAAGATTCTGGAATCCCGAGTGCCCGCGTATTTCGTCGGACTACATGTAGCTTGACGCGTGAGGTCGCGAGCGCGATTGTCGTCTCGTAATATTCATTCGAAATCTATAAGCTACTAGGAATCAGCCTGTCGGAGATGCAGCTCAAGCTTTTTCCGGGCCGCTGAAAATACGAACAGTATTCGAGTTTGAATCGAGAAAACTCATTGCTAAATCCCCTCCTTATCGGAAAGGATTCGTCTACAATACGTGAGGAATGCCGAAGTGTTCGGTCCCGTCCTCGCTGCAGGTTTCAAGATTCCAGCGCCCAGTCAACCCCGGACGGAAACATCGGAACAACTGAAGAAGGTTCGTACACTACAAATACAGCGACTGTAGATAGCCTACGTGCCGGAGAATGGATGCAACCCCCTCTCCTGCAGGAACGAAAGTAGACCCTCAAGGATTCTTGCAGACTTCTCCGAATGCAGTCGAGCGAAGTTTGCTGTTGCTCGTTCTCACCCTGAGTCTTTTGTGCGGGCTGATCCTACTGCTGCTCGTACGGTCATCCCACATGCAATCCTACCTGGAAAATTCCGTCTCGATGCCCGTCGCGCGGACGGGGAGAGAGCAGAAACAATGTGGGTAGAGTGCAGATATCGAAGTATACCGGGCGGGATACCGCAGGTTCGCATAATTCGAAAGCTCAGCCAATTAATATACCTTGACATTTCATGTCTCCGATCACAGCCTCAAGGCTGTGCCTCACTGCTGAATGTATACACGCATCATCTTCGATACTCGAAGCCATGGATGAAAGCGCGGATCCTTGTGAGGATTTCTATCAATTCGCTTGCGGACGATGGGGAGCGCATAACCCCCTGAATCCCGATATGAGCGGCCTCGACACTCTGGCTCTGCTGAAAAACGAGATGCGTCGTGTCTTCAAAGGTAGGTGAGCTAGGCGAAAGCAACGGATCGGCTTCGCTCATGCTCGCTCTTTCGTGAGCGATTCTGTTTATCAGAATTCGTCATTGTAGCATTCGCAAGTGCAGAAGGAAGGATCTACCCCGACCTTGCTGCTACGACGGATACGGAACTTTGCAGATCTTCTGGAAGCACCGATCACGGACAGGGACGGACGATCGGCTGGACAGGCGAAGATTTTCTATAAATCATGCATCAATGAAAGTGAGACCCTTCTGCTTTTGGAATCTTATCTTGCTCCCCTCAGAGCAATTCCCTTTATAACCTGTCCCCCTTTCCCCAAAGCGGCGGCTGAGATCAAGAAAGAGAAACCCCTGCTAGAGCTCCTCTCTTCATTGAAACTCAAGTGGCCAAATGTCGGAGAAGCGCCGCATGCGAACTCTACAGTATCCAATGATCTGGAGAACTTCGACTGGCACGACACGTTGATTGAGTTCCGGCGGCTCAAGTTTGAGACGTTTTTCCAAGTTTTTTCACAAGCGGACCAACTTGATTCCTCATCGAGAATCCTTCAGGTGGAGTCATTTTCTTGGTGATTTCTAACGATACTTATGCATTCAACTTCGGCTCAAATTGTGCGTTGCTTCTAGCTGGATCAGCAAGAGCCCTTGATACCATCGGTCGACTTCAGCACGGCGAGAGGGAAGAAGCAGATCGAGGTTCGTAGGACATCAAGCTCTGAATGAATTGAGTGACTTTGAGGTCTCAAAGTAATCCAGAGCTTTCTCCGTTGACGAGCACGCAGTATTTTTGCTCCACAGGCGTACCACTCTATGATGGTTTTGGCAGCTGAGCTCTTGGGTGCAAACAGGACGCAAGCGATTGATGACATGAAACACGTGGTTCTGTTCGAGATCAAGATGCGCACCGTAGGTTTGCTTCCTGATTTAGGAACGCTTGAAAAACCCCCCTCCCCCGCTGAACTCAATTTGTTTTTCCAGTTCCTGGAATCTAGCGAGAAGCGTAGAAACTTCACAGCCATCAACCACCGGATGACGTTGGCTGAAATCAATGAATTTGTACCAGAACTGAGGATTCATAAATTGGTGGATGCTATTTTCGAGAGGTGTGTCACATGGAAGAACTAGCTCGAAAGATGCCTATGCCTCTATATATTAGTGCGGACGAGGCCGGGACTTAAAGCGTGCTCGCTTCGATAGGAAATTCGCACCGAACACTTCCTTGGTAGTTTACGCCCCCACCTATCTGAAGAAGCTGAACGATCTCATTTCGAATACACCAAAAAGGTAGGCTGGAGCCTCCTTCCGCTTCTCCCTCGATGATTTCTTATTATTCCCTCTCTATCAATTTAAAAACCCATTGGTGTGCTATATTCCTATTTCAGGACGCTGGCGAATTATATGGGATGGAGAGTAGTGTATTTTTTGATGAATTTCCTCGATAGGCGTTTCGTTTCGTTGCGTCAAAGATATACGAACGTCGTCACCGGTAAACCGAAGATCTCTTTGCTGATACTCAGCCTGATTCGCTCATTTCCCTCGGCGCGCCGTCTTGAGACGCATTCGATTTCAGGGACTACTCATCCTATACCGAGATGGCGCCTCTGTGTAACTCTAGTCAATATAAATCTCGGCATGGTCACGGGAGCCATGTTTCTTAAGAACCATTATTCACCGTGGATGAAGGCATCTGCAGAAATGATGATACGAGACATACGAGAAGCTTTTTTGGAGAATCTCTCGGATTTGGACTGGATGGACAGCAGCACGAAACAGAGCGCCATACGGAAAGCGCTTGCCATGAATTTCAAAGTTGCTTATCCGGATGAAATCCTGGATCAGAACTGGCTCGAGCGCAACCACAAGGTCGATATTTCCGAATAAGAGATTTGAGGCATCTACTTCTCGCTCTCCCTCCCACCGCAGAAGATTCTCCTGCAGAAAACCAATGAGGAAGCTACATTATTCCCCAGGTTGTTTTCACAACGGACAATATTTTCGAAAATATCATACGCGTGAGCAAGTTCCGTCATTTGAAAGAACTAGAGACGCTTGGAAAAGAGAATGATCTCAGAAGATGGCTCATGACCCCTGGTACGGTGAACGCGTTCTACACTCGAACGGGTACGTATTATATTCGCGTATGTTCTCGCTGAGGGGGAGGGACGGACTTGTCCCTAATCTCTACCCGGATGCCCGCCCGTAAATAGTCGGTTTCTCCAGGGAATTTCATCACTCTGCCGGCTGCTATACTCCAGCCGCCCATGTTCCATCCCAGCTACCCCCCTGCGAAGAATTACGGAGGGATCGGAGTGGTCATCGGACACGAGATCACTCACGGCTTCGATGATAAGGTTGTTCGAGATATTCCATCGAAGCGAGCGTCAACCATTAGGCCATGAATAATTCCTCTCCTTGCCAAGAGAGCGATGAAGTTTATCGCTTTCCTGATAGAAGCCCCTAGCCCCTACCATCGGTTGTCCTCCTTCTGAGGTGAAACGACAACATTCCAGGGGCGGCAGTTCGACGAGCATGGCAATTTGAAGCAGTGGTGGCAACACGAAGCCTTGCAGCGTTTCAAAGACAAGGCGCGTTGCATGATCGAGCAATACTCGGGGTATAGAGTGAAGGAGATCAACATGATGATAAATGGTTTCAAAACGCAAGGGGAAAACATAGCGGACAATGGAGGCATCATGCAGTCCTACACGGTGAGATTCTCCCGGCACGACTGGGAACTCGGCCACAGGACAGTGGTGGTCGATTGTTGGGACGCAATGCGGGGTCCGCTCCCCGGAAGATCGGCTTCCAACTTCCAACCCATTGATTCAATCTGTGTTATTCAGGCTTTCCGCAGACGTCAAGACGAGCTTAAAAGCACGAAAATTCGATTGCCCGGGGTTAACTTCACTGACGAACAACTATTTTTCTTGACCTACGCTCAAATTTGGTGCTCGAGCTCAACAATTGAACGAGCAATCCAGGACGTGCGTTTCAGTGATCACACGGCACCGCGATACAGGTGAGAGAGGTCGAAGCGAACTTCATCGAATAGTCATATCGGACGTGGCAACCAAGCTTGAAATGTTCCATTATTTACAGAGTCATCGGTGCTTTGTCGAATTCGAAAGAGTTCTCCACCGCGTATCGCTGTCCGATCGGTTCACCAATGAACCCGAGAAGGAAGTGTAGCGTTTGGTGATACAACGATGTCCTTGAGGGCTGCACAGTACGCAGTGGCTAAACGGGGGACCCTTAATAAGTCTAATGTCAACTAGATATCAGATGGATGATATCGAAATCTTGGAAATAAACGGTATTTGCCCCCCTTCCGGAGTCTCTCACCATGCTTCAATTTTTCCGCATATTCATCAACGGAGTCCGGTCGGAGGTGCACCTCCATCATACATCATGATTGGCGGAGGGGGGATCATACGCCCCTCTTGCACGGACCTCGGGGGTCGTGGGATAATGCTGTCCTAGCGGCTTGTGACGATCCGTTGTGGCTCGCAGCTGTCGCAAAGTTCACTACGGTTCTCACCGGCGCACAGTGGGGCCAAATCACATTTTCGGTGGACAAAATTATTCTTCTCATTTTTTTCGCATGCCAGGCTTGCCTGCATCCGAAAAACGCATGATTACCTACAGCAAATATTGCTAATTTTCACTGACGGAAACAACGAAGTCACCGAACAGTCGACTGAACAGTCAGCGTTGCTGGTTGCTACGGCCACGGATACAGTTCTTGCAGAACTTACTTCGTCTCTCTCACGAATATCTCGAACTTCCCAATATTCACTCCGAATTTCGAACAGAGAGTCCGGAGAATAACGCGAAATCTGGTTATCAGGCTCTCGTCGAGGTCGGTGATCGCGGAAGTCACACTTGAATTCTCGTGTGGGCCTCATCCTCGCTTAACAGAAAATAGGTTGAACCAGAACCTACGTATTCAGAATTTCTGAAGTCAACTTCGATGATTTTTTTTCCAAAACCGGGTGACAATTTTTTTCCTGAGGTGGTTCAAGGTGTGATGTGTCCCCCAATGAGTCAATATCCGGGCGGGAAAGGGTGGGGAGTACTCTCCAAGAGCCACCAATTTTGATGAATTTAGGGGCTTGGAGGTGTTCTCTGATTCCTCGGCTCGGCAGGTGCGGAACCAGCTGACGGGGTACAAACCGGTCTCAAACGCGAGATCCGGACCGGAGGTGTTTTGGGAAAATCCATTGAGCCGCCTCGGAAGTGTACGAGTGTATTCATTTTCGAGCTTTATTTCTGGGAGGAAGAAAGCAGATCGCACCTCCAATTAAAGCTTGACTTCGAAAGCTCCGCGCTCTCTCGTAACTCATAATAGCGGTATATACTGAAAGACATATGGCTTTCTGACCTCCAGACTTCGGTGAATATTCTGGGCTATCACTGGAGATCGAAATCCGGAAAAGACTTTTGTCCACCTAAAATGTGATTTGGCCCCACTGTGCGGCGGTGGGAATACTTAAGCGGCTCCGTGCCGTAGATACGGCTTGAATCAGGATGGATAGTCAGCTCGATAACTCCTATATGGAAGCTTGTAAGCCGCGGCGGACGTGGCCCTCGTGGCGGAAGGGAATCTCGGAAGGGCTCTATGTCCGATTTTAATCATTCGCATTCGGTTATGGCCGCACTCCTAATACCGAGGATTCCTTGTGTTGATTGACCAGCACTGCCAGGGGAAACCTCACGGCAGGAGGGCAGACGGCAGGAGGGCAGGAGGGCAGGAGGCTCCCGCTAATCCTAATGCGAGTCAAGTGGGAAGAGCTCAGATCACCGAGCACTTTTCCCCACTAAACGTGCTAGAACCAATGCTGTCCTCCCGAAGACTCGATCTCCATCAAACCGAAAGTCTTTGAGCCGACGCGGAAACACAGAGACTGCCCGGCGCCCGGGTCGCTCAACTTCCCAGCGGAGATCATCGACATCACGCTTCCCACTGTCAGAGATAGAGTCTATCCTCGCAAGATTCCTCGCTCCCCACCTTGCTCTTGTTCTCCATTATCAAATCGACCTGGCGAACGTGAAGTCGTTAGCCGCCTGAATCTTTCGTACGGAATATTTCGCGGGGTTCAGTCGGATGGTCTCCAACACAGGCGGCGCCCAGTGCCAGTAGGCCCATCAAAACAGAGAGAAAAGGGAGAGCAAAAAATTCGTCGTGTGGCTGTAGCCGCCGCCGTCAACGCTGCGGCGACCAACAACATCAAACAGCCAACCATCACCCACACAGAGAATAAAGCAGCGAACCGCAGATCTGCATTGCATTACGTGAGCGTGAATCTCATCATCAGTAAATTATATCATTTGGTGAGTTCGTGCTGCTCTCTGATGTCGTGTCTGAGCGCGTTTCAAATAATGATACTGCAAGCGTCATAGCATCTAGGAGTATAGTAGATCTTCAGCGAACTCAGATCTTGGGGATTTTTGTGTCGTACCGGCATTCAATGTGAGTTCCGATGAAATTACAACCTCGAATGGGTCGGAATTTTCCGCTGCAATTGATAATGGGATCGTTCTCCCGGCGGAGATGCGGACGACATCTGAGCAGAGGTCTCAGATCTCTCCTCAATCTGTCCCCTAATAAACGTCAAACAAAGACTGTTCACGATGTGCGCGTCTTCACGCACTCGCTCATATACCTACGCTCTCGAGTTCAGATCGAAGTTACGAATACCGAGCTAGAAACCATTCCTACCCACTTTGTCAATCCGCATGTTGTCGAATTATCTACACGTCTGCCATCGTGAAGGAGACTACCGATCCCAAGTTTCCCCAATTATTCTCCAAGCTCTGTAAGTGCGAGATTTGAAGAAAGTCTTCATCACTCTTTACAGGTGAAAATCATCTGCGCGGAAGTACCTTTCGTAACCATCTTCTCATTACCTCGGACCATTAAGTGTGCATGTCTATTGGAGTCATCATGGAAGCAGACTTCGAGGAAATCGAAAGCGAGAGATCATGGCAACGAGCTTTCTTCAACATAAAAATCAGCTCCCTAAAGCATGACTACACGACGGAGGAAGCCAAAAAAGTAGAAAATCGTCCCTTGAATCGATACAGAGACGTACATCCATACGATCATTCTCGGGTTGTACTGCTCAGATCTGAAAGCGATTATATCAACGCCAATATCGTCCCAGTGAAGAGAGCCGGTCGCGAGTATATTTTGACTCAAGTGAGTATCAGGAGTTCATGGCTCCAAGGTCTTTCTCGACCTGAGAGGGAACGCTCTCGGAAAAGTTTGACGAGGTCAGAGGATGAGGATCTGATTTTCTCCACAGGGACCACTACCCGAAACGCTGTCCCAGTTTTGGCTCATGGTCTGGGAACAAAATACGAAAGTGAGTGATCCTCCACAATTGGCAGGAGGTCTATGCGCGCGTCGATGAAATTAATAATTCTATTCTGTGCTAGCTGTCATGAATGGTTCCGATAATAACTCTCACGGATTCTATAGGGTATTGTGATGTTGAACAAATTGATTGAGAAGAATCTCCTGAAGTGCCACAAATATTGGCCCGATAAGGACAATCTAGAAATGAACTTCGAGTCTGTTGCACTGGCCGTGAGTTTTGTCTCTGAAAGTGCAAAAGATAGCTACATCTGTCGGTGAGTGGCACCTCGTCCCGTATTGAGTCCTTGTTGCTTTACATCGATCTCACGATGATGACTGGAGAGCTAAACTGGATTACTTGCTCAGGACCTTCCGGCTCGTGGACGGTGAAACGGGGAATGGTCGAGAAGTATTCCAATTCCATTACATGAACTGGCCAGATTTTGGCGTTCCCCAGAGTCCCGATGATTTTCTGGACTTTCTATCGGATGTGTAAGTGACTCGCTACAGTGCATGATCAATCGTTGTTGCGTCTCAAGGCATCTCACTCAATATGTCCCTTTTCCTATCGCGGTCGATCAGCTCTCGGTGTTCTCACAATCACTGGAGTCTGACTCCCAAGTCATCGGAGGGACGAGCCGATTATTTGCGAGATAGCGGGGTTTCTGGGCTAAGGGCTATCGGATGGAGTTGACTCGACAATATCCGAAGTTTATGAGCTGCGACGGAGGTTCAGCACACAAGCGAGGGCTCTCCCTGAAGTCTTCTTTTTCCCCTCATATTGTTGGCCTAAGATCCGACCGACATCGGCGCATTCAATGAGCTCAATCCTTGCATTACAGACGGCGATCAGGCTGCCTCGAAAGCCACTGCGGACCGGCGATAGTTCATTGCTCCGCTGGCATCGGTCGATCGGGAACATTCTGCCTCGTAGATTCGATATTGCAGATGATCGAGCATAATCACCTCCATGAATCCGAAATAAACTTACGGGAGGTCTTGCTCGAAATGCGTCGTTACCGAATGTCATTGGTTCAAGCCCCGGAACAATTACGTTTCTCGTATCTCGCCATCATAGAAGCTTTACGTCGGAGAGACGGCAGATCTCCGTACCTGTCTCGCAAGAAAGATGAAGACGCTCCCCCTCCGCCACCGCACAGAGCTCGTCCAGTGATGGCAATGAAGACGGTGGTGAATTACACTGAAGACAGCTCCTCAGAGGACGACGTCAACGAACACGATGTCGGGATCGACGAGGAACGAAATGCCAATGGGAACGACGCCATCGGGCGGGAACCACCGGAGGAACTCGAGGGCGGAGACGAAGTTTTGAAAATTGTAACGAACTCCGGGGAATCTCCGGCCGACTCTGCTTGCGCATCGGCTGACGCTAGCGAAAGCGATAGCGACAGCGAGAGCGACAGTGGACCTCCTCCTTTGCCGCCAAAAGACATTCCTATGGGGGAACTCTCCGGCACGCAGCCGCAGCGAGAGCCCCCGCAGTCGCCCTTGCCTACAGATAGAGTACTTCCTAACCTTTCCGAGGATCTCCATAGCTTCGAAAAAGAAATCCTGGCAAAGGAGTGGATGCGGGACGAGTCGGTGAGTTTTCAGATGAAAATTCTCGAATCCTAGGATTCCTTCTTGCTGGAGATTTCTCTCAAACTAATTGATCACTCGTTCATCCGATTCGCAGATCACGCTGCCTGGGGGGAATCAAACGCCAAACTTTGACCAAGAAATGCTCATCAGGAAGCGTTTGCACGAACAGAAAATACAGCAGAAGGTCCAGGCTATCAAGAAAGGTTCGTCCGGTTGTGTCCCTGATCAAAATCAGCTCGGCGATCGGCACCGATTATCTAAATCGAGTAAACATCCTCCCCCAGGTGTTAAAGACGCGGAGGCCGCGAACGATCGCAGAACTTTGTTCGAGAACATTGGCATCGGTGTGGTCGTATTCCTAGGAGCCGGAATCCTCCTGTACAGAATCATAGACTATGTCAGGAGTTGAGAGCGTCCTGCAGTCGAACGAAAGCCTAGAATCACTGATTGCCGCCAAACTGGGATCTTTATCGTTTATACAGAGAGACGAGCGCGTGGGCGACTCGATCTAGTGAGACAAAGTGAACAAATCTTCTCAGAAGCACCCAAATGTGAATCCAATCTCTTGGTCGATGTCGGGGGGACAGAGAGCAAGATCGCCTTGACAGGCCGTTGGTCGATCGCTATTTTCTAGGAAAGCCGAGACGCGTGCGCATGCTACAAACCTCGATTACAGTAATGATAATAACTAAATAAATTGATAAGTTAATCCAAACCTGTGCAGGAGCTCTTGGAAACTCAATGGCCGATTTTTGCTTTCAAATCGAATCTTTCCGCCGGATTGAATTCGATATCCGAGCCGTAGGAGAGTTTTGTGATGAGTAGATACATTATGAGTAGGGCTGAAGATTTTTCGCGAACCGCCATTTTTCCGCGAATTTTCGCGGAAATTTCCGGCTACTCCTCATAGACTTTCAATGGAGGCCGCGAACTCCCGTGAATTCGGCGGAAATTTGCCGCGAAAAATCTTCATCTCTAATTATTAGGCGAGGCGAACATCAGGGGTGAGCTACGGGCCGAGCGCACTCCTCCAACAGCGAGTACCACGGTAAATGAATTAGAGGAGAATCGCTAGGTCTCTTCTCGCTAGCTCCTGGAAAGTGCCATTCTCGATCCCTTGAACCCATCAAGGGCCTGGGGGACATAACTCTCGTTCGCTCTAACTAACAGCGATTCCGCCTCCTCGTCACAAACTGCCCCGCGCTCTATTATGTACAGCAGGCTTTTTCTTTTGAAGCGTTCAACTCGTCCTCCGACGGGAGCTTCCGAGGGAATGAATCGAATATCCGGGTGAAGCGGAGGCCTTGAATGAAACTTGCTCTGATTTAACAGGCCTCCTCTTGGGAGACGTCTCAAACGACTCTCATCGATGTTCAAAACTGTCAATTCCACCTCCTTCTTCGCTGGATTTATCGAGACTTAGACCACGCTTCTTTTTTGCACCATTCTATCGCGTCACATTTCCGAGCGTTTCTCACTGATTGACACCAGAATCCCGAGCCAGTGGCGCACTGCGGTCCGTTGCGATCTGCGGCAAAAATCGAGTTTCAGATTGATGTGAGAATTGCGAACGAGAACATCGTGTCGGAGCTCACATACGACTGTCGTCACACATCCTCTGAGGTCCTGCTTACGGTGCGCTCGCTGTGACGAGGATCCCGCCAACATTATGAAGGCCACGAAAACCACGAAAACCCATCGAGAATTAAGGAGGCTAAACGACATTTTCGAAAGATCAGTGCTGAACAGAAGCTTCATCCGTGGATATATATGTAGAGCCGGATATCAAATCACGGAGCAGCATGAGTTCGACATTGATCATGAATCATCCGAAAACTTTCGGTCATGTGAACGGGATTCTGTAGCTGCTTTCCAAGTCGTGCCAAACTCAAGACTGCGTGGTTTGATCGTCTTGACTTCTGAAGTTCTATCGAACGCCAACGAACGCCGCAGATGGGTCGAGCTGGCTCAATATGCTGGAATCTAGAACCCCTCGGAGTCGACCTCCGAGGCCGTGGACACCAGCAGGCGCCCCCCGAAACCGCCGCTTTCGAAGCTCGAAGAGAATCAGGATCCTCACAGCATCGGCTCCGACGGCACCGAGAATCTTGGCGCTTCGATTCTCCGATTTTCTCCAAATCATAAGCCTTTTTTGAGCTCGAAGCTCAATGAATGCCCTCGCGCTTATAGATGAATTCTGAATTATCTGTAGAGAAAGTGCAGAGAATGGTCGATCTGATGATTTTATGAGGGGCTCCCGCTTTAGCAGCTCAATGAGGCTCGACAGAAAATGCCTCCGAAGATACGGATCTCGGTCGATGAACCATCGCCATAATCGAGTTCTCGCTCAACGCCGATGAATGATGGAAAGGAAAAATCTTTCTAGTCGGAAAGATCGGTCGTCGAGCGGATCGAGTCTCCACGGCACGGACGCGGCACTCGGTCGTAATGAGTCTATCGTTCTAGAGAAAATAAGCTCGAAGTCAAAAACGGAACTAGCCTCCCTTGCCGCTGATGTACCCCCGCGGAGTAAATGTAAAAAATCGTTCATCGTGCTGGGACAGTTCATTCCATCATGAAGGCTCCGGACAGATTTCTCGAATCAGTCAGTAGCGGAAACTACCTCTCCCTGCCCCGCTTTTCTCCTCCGCTTGCTTAGATTATATTTCCCGCCACCCCGCCTCAAGTGAAGGCTGTCAACACCGCCGCGCCGTCTGAAGAGAGGGAGTGTATCGGAGTATCGGCATGTAGCCCGCCGTACATCATGTTCTCATTTGTTAACATTTCACTCACGAATCAACGCATTCTGTAGCATGTTCTAGAGAGCGGGCGGTCAGAGAGGTCTCTGCGGCGTTTGGCCTCTAGGGTAGATAACGGCGGCTCCCGGACAGATTATTATCAGAGCGACTCCAGGGATCTCATCACACCGAAACGGATTCTTAGAGCAGGGAGTCCTAGACCGTCGAGAAACTTACTCCTGACCGAAGGCAGGTCCGACTTGATGAATCATCCCATCTATGCGATGTATCGACGGGCGCTGATCCTTCCAGGAATCGAGAGTCACGCTTTTGCGTTCTCGACGTCAATGAAATCGATGTGAAAATCATCTCTTCTCACGAGCGACAGCCGCGCAGATGACGATCTCATTTTTGCCATGAAGTGTGGATGGCGCTTGAGCTGAGAAGTACCTCGAGGGAAGGCACTGTCGCCTCCGAGCTCCACCACGGCAACCGAGGAACACTCCTGTCCGGAATGACCGTATCATGGCCGCTAAGTATCGCTCCCAAGGATGCGGCCGAGCCGAAGTTCGCTTCGAGCGCCACTTCACTGCGCCGAGATATGTCAGAGTCGTGAAGTCAGACCTCAACGTGCAAGCGATATTCTCGAAGCGGAATGGGTTGGCCGCTGACGCCCTTGGTCACAGGTGGAAGAAAGATGAAATAAAGTTGTCCAGAACTTATCTGACAGTGAACATGTGAGCTATTTCTTGGCGTAAATCAAGGAAAGTGGTCGTGTGGCGAGACCCAATCTAGCAACGACATCGCGAACGCAAGCAGGGAGTTCTGTTCTAAATCGGTTTTGAGTCGAGAATGAAGCGGGCCGCGCCCCATCGGATCAAATCGGGACAAGCTATTCCGGTCCCATTGCGCGGATGGAGCAGGAAAGCACCATCGAAGATGAACGAATTGTATGCATCATGCGTCCCTGGGTCGCGAAATAGCGAACCCGGGCGGGATCCCCCAGGCGTGAGGCTCTCGTTCTTCAGTTCGAAGACGGTCAATCAGGGAAATTCTCCGAGAACACAGGCTTGTAGCATATATCTTCAGGAAAATTCGGGACGCCCCAGAGGATCCCAATCTGAACGAGCGAAGCGATAAGTGAGCAAACCAAAGTGGAACTTTTGCCGCTCTCAAATTCTGACAGCGATGACGGGTTCCGCAGGTAGACTTTGGGGTTCCGCGCAATCCGCCGCGGTACCCATTTTGAGACACACTGACCTAGACCCTTCTGAGACACAGCTTCGAGCCGAAGCCGAGCACGAAATCGCTATTGGGAAGGGGATCTCCTTCAGGGCAAGCTTTTGCGCCCCGAAAAACTGCAGTTATCGGCAATTGACGACGCTTGGAATATGCCGGCTTCCGCCCAGCGCGGAGAGCGAGAATCATGCTTTGCCACCGGGCCCGTTCTGAAATCCAGCCTTAGATGGTAGGCCCCCTTCCCTGATCTGCGCAGCCCAACAACCGAACCGTGCTTCCAGAGGCGGGATCCCCATAAATAGTTTGCTCGCCCGAATAAGCTCAGGCGGGGTATTTCTGATGGAACGATTCGGGAATTCGGGCTCAAGTTCGGATAAGCGCGAAACCCGGTCAGGAAGAGCACTAACGGATTCCTCTGTTCTGTGGGAAACGGAAGTTGGTCGGTTTAAGATACGAATTTTTGAATTCAAATGCTTATATTTTTTTGCCTGTTTCTCTTGGTTATCTCTTTGTTTCCTACATTCGTCGTCCGGCGTGAAAGCCTCTCGGAGCGTTATCCCGTGCGTGAATCCGACGATGTCACCTCGAAAGAATTCGTGAAGGCCCGAGGTCTCCGCTTTAGCGATCGGATCCCTGGACCGATCCGGAGGGCCATTACAGGGTTACTGGCATGGACGACATCCAGGGACGGGCTCCGTTCTCTTTCCACGTCAAACGCTCCACGAAAGATACGAAGATGATGTCACTAATGTGCAAATCCTACGGAGGGGAGGGATGCCCCCCGGTTGCGAAAATAAGAAAGAACGGTGATGTTGTTGCACTCACGGGGGTACACAACCACGTCCCTGACGCAGAGGGTTCTGGAATCGAGGTACGGCATGCTCGCACAGAATGGATAAGAGACATTCGAGACCATCCTCGCAAGCGCCCCTCTAACGTGATACGTGATCATTTGATCATGGAACAGCGACGAAAGCTTCCTCGACAAGCTGCATCTCAAATCGCACCTGTGGAGCACGACCGTACGCGCCGCTCCCACGCAGGGCAAATGAGGCCTCCGCCGCCTGAGAGTCCCTGTTCTCGACGTGGCGGAAACTGGCGAGATCCGCCAACCCGTCTATATCTCCTATAGATGTACTTGCAGCGACGCGCAGGAAAAAAAGTTTGGTGACTTATTCGTTTTCTTGGTACAGTTTCAGTCGACTCACCCGAGCCGCAACTGGAGCTCGATGTGCGACGACCGAATGTGAGTTTGATCGAATTTTAACCTCCACACATCCAAGCCGCGCAGCGCGAGGGCGAGCGACCGGTCGCTCTACCCTCGGAAGAGGACAACACTCTGCTCGTGTCAACTCTCTCGAGTTGTTTCCGGGAGGCAGTCGGTTTGAAGCATCGGAATCCCGATACAGGAGAATATTATGGTATACGGATGGCCGAGGGGCGGCTTTATGCTCCCCGAGATGGATGGGGTTCGAAAATTTTCTTCTGTGACGTCGCACACGGTAATTCCATGCGGCCCTTCTAGGTGTATCCCTGTTCTCCACGTAGCGGGAACTGGCGAGATCCGCCAACCCGTCTATTTCTCTAATATATGTACTTGCAGCGACGCGCAGGAAAAAAAGTTTGGTGACTTCTTCGTTTTTCTTGGTACAGTTTCAGTCCAGATACCCGACCGGCAACTGGAGCTTGATATGCCAAGACCGAATGTGAATTCAATCGAATTTGAGCCTTCACACATCCAAATCGCGCAGCGCAAGGGTGAGCGACCGGTCGCTCTACCCTTGGAAGAGGACAACACTCTGCTCGTGTCAACTCTATCAGCATATTTCCCGGGCACCGACAGGTGGTCGAGTGGTTGACGCGTGTGTCACTACTCGTGCAAACGTGCGTTTCACTTGGTGAAATGCCGCAACGACGCCGCTCGTGCAGGAGGCGGTGTGGGTTCAATCCCTGCTGCCGGAAAAATATGCAGGTACTCGGCCTTGATCCTCCTGGGTACATTTGCTCTATGGATCCTGCGCCAGCTTGGCTCCATTCGACCGCAAACCTCTTATATCGCACAGGGGGGCTACATCCATGATCATCCCGATCGCAGATGAGAATTGAGTCCAACATTACTCGATTCAACGTCGCCTCCCCACTCCGTCTTGACCCCCGCCGCTCCCTCTGCATTTGAGCTCCTGCACGGTCGACCACAAGGCGCATCTTACTCCACCGCCTATAAGCCAGTGCCCGAGGCTTCCTAGCTCCTCGAGAGTACCCACTCCGCTCGTCTAGCCCTTCTGAAGTTTTGGCGCTCCCCCCCCTCCCTCCCAGAGCCCGTGCCATCGCGTTCTGGTTCTCCGTGCCGGCCTCCCGGAGCAGACCTACATATTATGTAGATCGATGCCGTCATTACAATGATGGAATCTCGCCAGGCGGGGTACTTCCTCTCGTCTCATTACTTCGCGCAGGTAGAGCAGCTAAGGGGGGCGTATGTCCTCGGACGTTTTCCTTGCGCGGCCTCTCCGGCGGGACAGTTTTGGTGGTTGCAGCCTAAAGGCTGAAATTCACTTAGGAGCTCTTAGGACCAGAGATTAGTCTGTCAGTCATCGGGGAATGCGCAATTTCGCGATGCCGCCTACGGATTAAAAAAACAAATTCACTTTCGCGCCAAGAGTCGAGCTCGGCCGACGAGCGGACTTTCGTATTCTCACAAGCGAGGTTCGGCTGTCGCGATGGGATAACGGGAGAGGAAGATTCTCTCATTCGCGGATACCTGCGCGAGCCATTCTCTTTGCCCCAGCGATCGAAATTGGCTTCTTATCCTGCGCCCGTGCACCTTGTGCCCGAACGACAACCTTTTGTCCAGGGAGTCATGAGAACATTCACAACAAGCACCGAAGGCTCATGATGAAACACATCATCGCAAGAGGAATGGATGGCAAGCCGCAGCTGATCAAAGAGCGTAGTCTCTTCACTAGGTAGAATTTCACGATTTGGGTCATACGCTTGGGCTTGGGATGAGGTCACTAAAGGAGCTAGAACGGATTGATTCGAGAGAGCAGGATTCACCCCGGGATTCCCCTAATCCTCAACGCTGTTCGCGCGCGAATTACACGTCGGCCCTATGAGATCGCGCGCCAAAGCATATGACCGGTGTAGAGATTATCAAAATCAGGTTCTTCCTCAGAAAGAAAGCCGGAAGCGATCGTGAGCACGATAATTCGGGTCGGACTGGGGACTCGCGTCAATGCTTCACGGGATGGTACTCAGACTTGCGCGGGATGGTGACGTCGCGATATAGTGCGATCCCGTGCAATCGATACCGCGGTCATACCTACTGCGAGCGACTCGATGAAATAAAAAATTAGCCTCCCCGCTGTACGCGGCGCTGACGGTTCCAACGAGAGCGGTGGATGGTTTCGTGGAGGAATCTTTTATGAAATGGCCCTCACTACATGATTCGAATCCTCATTATTGTAGCTCCGCAGAGACCGGGACGGAGAGGCTCGATTCTCACCAAAGGAATCTCCCGCTACGGCTTTCTCAAGAATATCCATCCCTCAGGCCACCTGCCCCGAGAAAAAGAAGGTCTTCTTTTATCTGCATCGGTAGCTTGTTGGCCCGCTCGCCCACCAACAAGACTGTCTCTGGTAGATCTCCTTCACTCGGGGTCCCCGAGTCGGGGAGTCAGGGAGAGACTAAACGACGGAATCGTCTTTATTCGTCGGAGAGAGAACCTAACTTCACGATTCACGAAGCGAATGCCGCGGGCAGATCACTGTCGGACCTGAAGTTCAGTTTGCATCGTATGATTCACCCTCGAGCAGCGGTATCCCGCACATGCGGCGGAGTCACGACAATCTAATCTCGTGCATCTATCGCCGGCGAAGGTTCCGGTTTAACTGAGCATCGTCGCTGCCCTCCAGTCTCGCTCTTTGGACTGCCACAAGAGGGCGCTTCTCCACCCCGTGTCACTCAGCACCAGCTGCGATCTACGCTTGAATTCCAGTGCGCATTGCTATGCATCTCGATTCGTGACGTACTTTGATGGGGTGAGTTCCAATCATGTAGAAACATTGTGGAGTCAGAGCTCTTAGTCTGACGCTGAGAGGTCAACATTCTCTACGATGCAGTAGAGTCTCAGAACTCGAAATCGAGATTTTATCCGGAGGCCCGAACAGAGCAGAGCGTTCGAATGAGTCATGTGTCATAAAGTGAGGGGCAGCGATCTTTTTATTGCATTATCCGGCTTGTAGTTCTCAATCCCAGAACTTGACCCTATGCTTGTTGGCAGCGTGGGGGTCGAGCCGCTTTCCGCGGACTTGAAGTCGCGCTCCGGGGTTCAAACTCACGAATAGCCCGCTGTCATGAAGGACATCTTTCGTCGATATAATTACATGTAGCTCCTCACTCCTCAGTGATCAGTGATACGTGATACCAGGAGTGGTCCATGCATGGATCAGAGATGATGCCGCTGATCTGTGCTTCCAAAGAAAACACAAAACAGCTGTCCGTAGCTCCGGGGCGCGTGATGCTGCTCCGCTGACATCACCAACAGAGAGGATTTCGATGAACCGGCTCCTTCCTCCCGGATTGTGATCTGTGTTAGAGAAAAAACTGCTGTGAATCACGATATCGAGAGCTTAGGTGCTGCCCTATCATACACAGAACAAGAGTCTCAAGAGTACAGGAAAGAAATAGACTTGAGATGACAGGATCAGGAGATAGCGACTACGACAATGCCAAAACTTCGAAAGAACACGGGAAAGTAAGTTGCAGGAAGCCTCGGCGCAGGCAGTCAAGATTCCTTCCGCACAGTGGAGATTTGATCTTACAATTAAACCACTTCATACCAGCAGCACCGTATGCTCCCATTGCTTGACCGATTCTCTCTTCGATTTCTAGGCCTATCCAATGTCGGCCGATAGCGGGCAAGAGCTTCATCTCGGAGCTCGTCTTCTGGGATCCCTGGTCGTTCTGGGATTGGTCCTCTCCATTTTCATATACTGGCATGTCAACTATATGCTGCGTGATATTCTGAATAGATGAGTCAATTACACACAAATCAGGTCGGAATTCTCGCTCAGAGCTTGCTGGCGGAACGTTTGCGGAAGCGTTCCGACGTAGGGGATTACTTTTTGGGAACCCAGGAGTTTCTCGGAGTTGGGAGAATGATGGGAGCTCTCCAAGAACGACATCCATGCTTCAACTTGGCTTGCGTAGCAGCAGAATCGAGTGAGGTTCTTGGCGTCGACGTGCGAGAAGCTTCTGGCAAGGTTCACATTCGGTGCGTCTCCCAAACATAAAGTCAATTGAGGTGTCATGGAGGGTTGCTGGATCTATGGGAACATCTGGGGGAATCATTCTCGCGGAGCATATGTAGGTAGGTCATGCGATCGAATGGTTGGGGGTTGAGAGGTAACATGCGAAAGCGGCAGCCAGGGTGATCCCATCGCTATCTCGCCTGCGAGCTGCTTCGACCATTCATCCGAGGAGCGTTCTCGAAGAGGGAGAACTCAGTGTTTTGCACCCCCCGGGGGAGAGGAATCGACTTCCATTGAATATTCGGGATGGCTGAAGACCAGAACAAGAGACTCGCTCATTATCTGATCGGTCGAGAGTAGGCTTCACAGCCGTGGTTCATCAGCCAGCGTGATTCTTCGATCGAGCGAGCGAATCCACACTGAAAATCACTCAGAAAGCAATCATGGAGCGATCCGGATTCACTGACTCTGTATGGGACTTTGGGCGAGCCTGTGTACTGCAATCGTCCGATCATGCCGCGTGTCCAATCCCCGAAAACCCGCATCTCACGAGGGATCGATAACCTTCAGAGAATTTCTCCGACTCGGTCCCTCTCCTTATCACGAGCCGAAGGGGAGATCATTCCCTAGTGCGCGATGCTGGAAACCAAAGAGGGACCAAGGAAGTGAGGGAGGGATCGACAGAGAGTTCCGCTAAGTACCGATCTGTGACAACTACAAGGAAGACTTCCAAGTACAGTGAATGAAGGCAAGATGTACGAATGCGATAAGCAGAACGGGTGATTATCATAATTTAGACCCTCGTTCCCCGAACTCCTTGATTCTTCCCCCCCTTGGATCGAAGCGGAGTTCCGCCGGGCGATTCTTGCTAATGGCCCAGGGGCTTCGGCGTCCCCTATGCACAGAAGCTACCTACCTTTTTATCCCGCCTGTATTGAGGAGCCTTCATACATATTTAAGAACCAACTCCCCCTCCATCGAGACTTTATTCATCGTTCACCTTGTCTGATTCCAGTTGTGAGCATTCTTGCTCGCTGACTAACCCCTACATACTTCAACGAAACAATCATAACGAAAGCCTCATCCTCGACCGTATGCGTCATTGCAAAAATCTTGGGCATGTTCTATTTCTGGGATCCTATTGTTCGACAACCACCATGACCGTTTAGTCTCAACCGATTCTAAGGGTCGATCGCTCCAACATTTTACGGTACCAAACTGGGGAACTCAAGTAGGCGTTTGCAGATGTGCTCAAGGACGGAATTTCGACCGTCCTTTCGCGGCCGTTGACCTCCGGTCGTGAGAATGTACAACTCGATTATTCAGTCTAATTGATTCGGGTCACTCCCGGTGTAGATAATTTTGCTGCGATGCGAACTCCCTCCGCTTGCGATGATGATCGTCTGGCGAGAATTTGAGATGTGCCCATCTATCTCGTTCTCTTCTTTTCTCGGACTGAAGCATTTCTTAAATACGTTCGTCCAGTTCGACTTGGCGTAACTGCCGTATAACAAAGGGTTGACGCACGAATTGCTCACTGGAAAGAGGAGTCAGTCGGAGACCAGCGAGTATAGCCCTGCCTGGGAGGCTCGAAACAAGAGGAAACTCTCGACTCACCGGCGAACATGAAAAGTGCGTTCCGGAGGTAACCGTTTATTTTTGTCGCGCCGTCGAGGTCGATTTGATACCAAACCACCATGGTCACGTAAGGGGTCCAGCACCAGAAGAATGTGAGAACAATGACAACTGTGAGTCTCAGAGTTCGGTTCCGGGTGCGGTTGATGCTGTAAGTTTGGATCAAGATAATATTTTCGGATCATGGGTGTACCTCGAGGAAGCTCTTCGCGCGAGCTACCCACCATTCCGCGTTGCGAGGATCGGATCGCCTGAGCCTCACTTGCCTGTACTGCACGCGGAGATTATTTGTATTGCGACTCGTCGCCAACTCTCCGTCTTGGGATCGTTGGCAAATAGCCAACATTATTCTGCTGTAGCACCAAATGATTATCAGAAGTGGAATTCCGTATTGCAGTACGAGACCGAATAGGACGTAAACCTGGGAAGATTCCGTGATGTGAATGTGATATGTTTCCGGAGGGCGATGCCATCTCTAAAAGGGCACGAGAATATCAGAGCAAGGAGCGCTGATTTCGATCCAGAGACTCACTCTTTGCTGCGGCGCGTTCGAGAAGAAATTGAAGGTGATGCACTGATAGAAGTCTTTCACGACGGGGTGCCCGTCGACTTCATAGACTACCGCTTGAGGCAGACTCCAGCTTAGCGAAACGAGCCAAGCGAGAGCGATCATAATTTTCCCTCGACGCTGGGCGTCGTGAACCTGCAGGAAACCACTCTATCCTCAGCCAGAAACCTCTCGGAGCTAAACGACACTTCTGCGGATATTCTTTGGTTCAGAACTTGCCTTGAGGGGATGCAAAACGGCGAAATATCGATCCAAGGAGATGCAGATGATGATTGTTGAGCTTAAATATGGTCCGAAAGCTCGGACCACTTGAAATATTTTACATAGGAGATCCCCGGCTTTCCATTGGACCATCATGACCCAGAATATCTGCGGGGTAATCTCTAGTGAGTGCTGAGTATGAGACTGTATATTCTGTGCGCGATTCCAAGATCTTTTTGCCATCTGGGGAGCTGCTGAGGCTCCATACCTCAGTTGGGATGAAGATGAAGGTGACGATCAAGTCGGCGATAGCCAGGTGCAACATCATGAGTTTGATTCTTGACTTCCTATGGCGGTTCCGGATCAGGGAGAGGAAAACGGGAACATTCCCGACGGCCGCGCACACGAACAGAATACTGTATACGATGATGCTCACTAGCGACTCGGAGTTGAACATACATTCTGGACAAATTTCCGCGATCTGCAGAGGAAACGTTTTTGAACAAAACAAGTCTCATATTAGTCCTGAGGGCGAGATCTACTCGGAGGTTCACGCTCCTTGTAGCTGTTTCACTGACTTCTTCGCAAGGAGAGCGTCGCTCCGGGAACCGATTTCAAACTATACCGAACGAGCTAGCCTCCGAGACGAGCAAGGGTTTTCCCAACGGCGCAGTGATTGTCTTGGCTCCTATCTCGTAACATTCCATACTTGCCTCAGCTTCGGTCACAGCGAGTTTTTCAACACCGGACCAGTTCTGATCGGTCACGCGGGATGCGTTCGTCATTTGACCGGAATCTCTTGATCGAAGACTCGAGGCGTCGTGGATCGGTCTCTTCTCGTCTATATTTGACCTGTTTGCTGGGAGATCGATTCCCTGTCTTGGGAATTATTCGCGGATTCTCGGTCAGCTTAGAAGAAACGCGTCGGAGTCGGATCACAGGATAACGACCGCCAGGCTCCATTTGATCTCGGTTGACAACGCTGCTGGAAGCTGAATTCCCTGGATTTCTCGGTTCATCATGACAGCAGTTGCTGCTCGCGATCTATCGGAGGCTCAGGCTGCCCCAAGTAAGCGAAAGGATCGCCGCAGGAGCCCTTTCCCGCGGGACGATCATTGCCCGAGGGGAACCAAACGGCGGGTGAGGGACGGTACAGGGTTAAGGAAGCTACAGCCCCACATCAGCAGCTACAATTCTACAATTATGCTCACGACCTTTGTCGAGGATACGCCTTTTCAGAGAGGGTAATAAAGTACCCTGAGGAACAAGGATGGTTCCCATATTGACCAGGATGTTTTGTCATGAGAAGCTCTTTCTAAGAGCTCTCTCGTAGATGCTCTCAGAGCCGTCTACGACTTCTCGCTCGAAGTTCCCCATCGCGCGCTCGGGTTCATTGATTCCACCACGAACTCTGAGGTTCCCTCGGATGAAAATCCCCTAATGAGATTGAGCCCGTCGGTCTGCGAGCGTGCGAGAGATAGTAATCCACTGTCAATTGTACATCGATGACTCGGATAATACCCCAGAGCCCTGGCTTCCTCTATCGGAAGCGTACGCGACCAAGAGGTTGCTTCGTCTGACCAGTAACTTGGAACATCAGAGGGGCTGTGGCATTCCCTACGCTGCTGGTGAAGTTCCCTGAGCCGAGCGGCGGTCCTGACGAGGAGCGAACAAAAAAAAACGCCTCCTCTTTCGAGGTTGGATTATGGACCAGCTCATAATTCCAGGATCCTATCGATAGACTTCGGGCGCACTCCAGTCGACTGCGAGCGCTCGCTGATAGCCGATCACGTAGCTAACTTAGGTTCATGATCGCGTCGAATCGCTCGCCTCTAGCACGATCGTCGAGAATGCATTCATCCATGGCGATCAACGGAGCGGAATCTGCTGCTGTGGGTACGCTTTGTTATGCGCCTCTATTTTGAATGAAAATGGAGACGGAGCCCGGAACGGAGTTCACGTATGAGATTGCCGAGACCGTCGCCGATGGACAGGAAGGTAAGTCGTCCGAGCAGCTCGTGGCCCGGGACTTGACACGATTCCATCGAAAGTTGACTGAAACCCCGCCGAAACTTCGGGGCTGGGGGCGGCATTTTTGAAATGCCACCTACGAGCCGATTTCGGACTTTCGGCGCCTTTTATCGAGCTCCCTGAACCATAGTAGATGATCGATTCCGATCGAACTATCCCCCTACGTGATGCTGTGCGGCCGAAGTGCTCCGCGGCGCCTATCGAATGCGTGCTCAGAGCCCTTCAGAGCAGGCTGGGGTCAGCCGTGGGTTTTCGGCAGTGAAATGGCGGGCAGCTTGGTTCTTCGACTAGAAACTGGCTTTCACGCATCAATGTCGGATGTTGAAACGAAGCACACTGTCTCTCGCGAGCCGATCTCAGTGTAACGGAGCTGTCATGAACTTGACCAAGTCCGAGGGGGTGGATTGAATTAGATTGGTTCTGGGACTTTCCTCCTTCAAATTACCACCATCAGACGTCCGGGATCCCGTATCTTGTGCGTGACGCACTGCTTCAAATTAATTCTCTTCTTCCCTTCAGTCGAGCTTGCCGAAGATGAAGGCGACTACATCCAGGTCCATGCCGACGAACATGGCAACCTCATCCAGGACGAGGACGGCAACCTCATCCAATACGTCCCAATGGAGGAAGACGAAGCTGTTCAAGAAGGACACGAGGAAGTTTCTCATCAACACGTAGAACAGATAGTGGACGAACATGGCGAGGTTGGTTTCTGTAATCGTTTTACACTGAACATGCGAGGGCTAGTCTCAATCCCCCTAAATATCTGAGGCGGGAAGAGCCTTTTGCGGGGAATTCGCGGTTCTTCGAGCCGACATCGATCTCATCCCGGTGCAGGGAGGCATCTGATCTTTCTCGAGCGAATACGACACTCCCGAGGTCTATTCGACGAGTCAAACACTCGGAATTCGTTGCTTTGAAAATTGTTCTGCTCCCTCGGCTGCGTTTTCCCTCGATGTGGCCACGACCGATGCAACTACCGAGATCATCATTAGTCTTGTCTTTCCGAGCGCAGGTACACCATGTTATCATGCAAGAGAGCGGATCGGCGGTCGAAGATGAGGAAGGACATATGGTCGAGGCGATCCAGGGAGAAGACGGTTCCGTCGTCCTCGTCGATCAGGAGAACGAGGAAATGGTGGAACAGAGTGAAGAACTTGCCGAAAGTCAATCTCCAAACTTGCCGGAATCGCCTCCGTCTCAACATGCCCAAATGATCCAACAACAACCCGTTCAACAACAACAGCAGACCCAGGTTATTCAACAACAACCTCAACAGATGCTGTACGTTGTACAGCCCGGAACCAATCAGCTGCAGCAGCTCCATTTTCAACAACCGATCCAGGGGCAACAGACGAACCAACAGAAGAGCAAGGTCGTGTGGATCACTAAACCAAATCAGACGCCTCAACTGCAGCAGGTCGTCACGTCTTCTGCCCCTCAAACCATCCAAACCACCCAGCCACGGCTGATTCAGATAGGAGGACAAACACTGATTGTACAGTCACCGGCGAGTTTTCAAGACAATAACCAACAGAAAATTCTACTCAGAACTCCTTCCCAACCCACACCCACAATCGCAAAACAGGTGAGGACAAATATTTGTGCTTCCAAAGGCTGACCAGTCGATTCCCTTGATGGGGAACGCCATGGCGTGAATTCAACAAAAGTTCGAATCGACTTGAGACCGTCTCCTCGACTTTTTCTCAGCAGGTTATATACGTGAAGCCTGCGACGGGTCCAGATGGCAAACCGCAGCTGATGGAGGTTTTCCAAAACCAGCAGACGGTCCAAACCCTGAAATCCCCACAAAAAATCGCACCTCGTATCACAACAGTGACTTCACCAATGCAGCAAATAACCTACCGGCCGCAGGGCTCGTCCGGACAAGTTGTCACTGTGCAGGCATCGCCTCAATCACAGCACCCTCAATACCTCGTTGTTAAGCAAACAACACCGCAAGGACAGCATAGTTTCGCCGTCCAACCGCAGAACAGTGAACCAGCGCAAGCTGATTACGACGCATACGACAAACAATTGTATGCCATTGCTTCCATCTTGATATTGGGCTCCGATAGTACTGATCAGTCATTGCCTTGATCTGTGAAAACGTATATAGAAACGGACAGGCGAATGACATACCCCCGTCAGGAAATACCGGAATTCGAGATCATCGCTCTCTTTTCCCAGGAGCCACACCTCATCGAAGAAACCGTGCAACTGCACGAAGAGCCAGTGCCTAAAATTATATTGCGATTGCTTTGCGAACGGAGAGTTCTGTCAGAACTGCAATTGCGTTCAATGCTACAACAACCTGGAACACGAAGAAGAGCGATCGTTGGCGGTGAAACTTTGTCTCGAGCGCAACCCTAATGCTTTCCACCCAAAAATCGGTGAGTTGTTCCTTCGCTTCGATGACTTCTATGCGTTGTATTGATGCTTGATGGATTACCTGTCTTGGGTATAGACTTCGCGACATGGGAATAATGTGACGCATTTCTCATTCGAAAACTCAAGGCAAGTATAAACCGGGCGACAAAGAAAGACGGCATACGAAGGGATGCAATTGCAAACGCTCGGGCTGTCTCAAGAACTATTGTGAGTGTTATGAGGCGCGGATCCTGTGCTCAGGGGTCTGTCGCTGCGTCGGATGCCACAACATAGAAGAGAATATGGATGCAGAGTCCCTGCTCACCATCAAACAAGACTTCAAGGTCGGTAGTGATCTCTTTTCTCCTGGGTTCTTTAAGGCTTTGAGCTCCTTGTGGGTTCTGTCCATGATATTTCCGTGGAACGTGCTGCTCCGAGCTGCCTTCGATTGGTCCGCAGAGTATTCCTAAAGTTCAAACCCGTCTTCGTCATTACAGTACCGAGCTCCCAAATCCAAGTTTGACGAAACACTCAAACAGCTCGCCGGAGTTGGCGAAGCTGACAAGTCTACGGACGCTCGCTCCCTTCCGCCGAAACCCGAGCTGAAGATCTCATCCGAGCTCGTCGATGCCACTTGTGAATGTCTCCTCTCGAGGGCATCCGAAGCGTCCGAGGAGGAAGCCGAGAAAGCGATACTCCAAGAATTCGGCCATTGTCTCGCCGCGATAATCGAAGCTGCGAATATGCGGGTGGCCACCAAAGTTGAATGAAATACACGCGGAAAATATTCTAAATAAAGTAAGCCATAGACATCTACATGAATTCGATGGGATTTTAAAGTCGACGAGAGTCTCATAATATCTGGTAGCGGGCATCGTGTCAAATCGGAGAAACTGAGGCCCCAAGCCGAGATCGGCATCGATTTCGGCCCATCATCTTCCGGAAGGCATATCGGCAAAGGAAGATACGGATCCGCATTTTTTTACATCGTTTTGCGGCGGTGCGTTTATTTCCTCCACAAACGAATGACTCTATCTTTCCCCCCTGAAACGACGCTGCTTCCGTCTGGACTCCAATCGACCGTGTAGACCTCATCCGCATGCCCCGGAAGATCAATCAGCAGTTTTTTAGAATGGACGTCCCACGTTTTCAATGTCGAATCAGAGCTACCGGACACCAACAAGCGCGAATCCGCCGACCAGGCGATTTGATAGACCGGCGATACGTGACCGCGCAACACGCCCATGAATTTACCTGCCGAAGCAAATTAGAGTCATTTGACGTGGCGATATCCCAAGACGATATCGTTCCGAGAAGCTCGGAAGCTCAAGTCTCCTCACCGGTCCTGCCATCCCATAGCTTGATGCTCTTGTCGAATGAAGCACTCGCTAAGATACGCATATCTGGCGAGAATTTCACGTCATTCACGAGCTGTTGATGACCCGTCATGCGATTCAGCGGTTTCTTGCTCATCGGGTTCCAGAGGGCCACGGTGAAATCGTCAGAACCGGACGCTAACAGCTCAGGCTCTTTGCCCTTCGCGGTTTGATACCGTTGTAGCGCCAAGGTTCTCATGGTGTCTGCAGATCCATATCGAAAAAGTCAAGAATTGGAACACAAATATAATTCAGTGAAGAAGAAAGGAGGACCTCAATCGGGGGGACTGAGATCCGAACAGAAGTATACACACCTGTTGAAACGGCATCGTCGTCCCGAGGCTTGCAGGGATCGAAGGCTCCCGTCCGTATAGCATAATCTGTATTCAAGGCCAAGACGTTCACCCAATGACCGTGACATTGGAGAGTGTTCATAAGAGCGCCAGTTTCGGCCTTCCATACTTTGATGGTGCAATCTTGAGAGGCGCTGTAAATTAAGCCGGTGCCACCTAGAAACGAGTCATCCATGAGTCCGATCCGTCGAAACGTGTTACGTGCGCGTGAGGAGAAAAGTCAAGAGATACTGCTTGGGGACTGCGAACTTGCCCCATCTGATGCTCGTGACAGAGCGCGTGTGACTGGAGAGCGTCAGAATCGTGTTTCCCATCACGGTATCCCAGATCCGAACCGTGGCGTCTTTCGAGCCAGAAGCTAGCAGTCGAACCTCTGGATTCCTAAAATGTGAAACCTTCGACTGAGGATTTCCGTCTCCCGGGTCCCCGGCCGCACGTAAACCTCGCCTGGTATACCCACAAGTGGAGCGGCTCGAAGGCCAGGCAAGTGATCCATTCTTTGTGTCCGTTGAGCGTTCTGCCGATCTGTTTCCCTTTTTCGGGATCCCACAGACAAATCTGTCCATTCTTACACCCAGAAGCCACTTTCTTACAGTCGGGACTCCATGCGACGGCGAGCACCCAGTTTTTGTGAGTACGACCAGTACTGTGAGGCGATTGAGTGCTCAGGTCCCAGAAGCGGACCGTGGTATCTCCGGAGCCGCTGACGAGATGCCTTCGGGAAACAAGAGTTATTCCTCGATTGATTCTTAGAAAATGTATACACGAGATGTCTTCCTTGTTTTCGTGTGGTATCCCAAAACTTCCGCAATCGGTCAATTAACTCACTGTCCATCAGGGCTGAATTGGGCGGTCAACACGGCCTCCGAATGGCCGGGGATAGAACTCGTGCACCGTGTCACTGGCCGAACCTGAGATTGAGCGTTCATCATTATAAGACTTACGTCCCCGCGGGCTAAATGGCATGGAATCCCAATTCGCACGGATCTCCCAATAGCTCACCTTGAACAGAGCTTGGGGCGCGTAGACAATTTTGACCACGGTTTCGAATTTGATTGGTATCTTTTTCTCCCTGATGGTCTCTTCCAGAGAGCTCCTTATTTCTTCCCCCTCAACGAAGAACAGATACGGATTGGAAGACTCTTTTTCCAGAAAAGCATTGCACACCAGCTGCAGTTTATCCTTCGAGATCCCGATTGGAATGTCGAAAGGATCACCGGTGCTCTCCCCAGCCTCGGTCTCGAACTGTGCGAGAACTCGCTGCTCGGAGAGCTCTCCGCCGGTCGAGTCGACAGCCATCCTAGCTGGAAAGCAATAGAATTGGAAATGTCTCCTGGGGAGCGGGAATACTGAGATGTCAGCGAGAACCGGCCGCGTTCGATTTCTAAGCTCATTAAACGCCCGTGGATCTCAACAGCCTCAACGCTTTCGGAACTCGAACTCGTTCGAGAATACATGACCGAATTTACCTTGATGAGGCGAGAGCCCGCTGAATAAAGTGTTTTCGGGAAGTTCCTAACGCATGGGGGCACTGTGCGGATCGTGCTTGTTGCTTGTCGCGCTTTGTGTTGCGTTTTCTTCTTCGGGAGCCATGTGCGCGAAATGATGATATGGTGGCGTTGATGATCTTGCTTATCGAGCCCGATCGCTTATTTGGGATCTCCTTAGGACGAGGGGCACGTCGAGACTCTGTTTACAAAACACAGCAAACGTGGAAGTCTATGAATCGAATGCTCTACCTCTCTTGACAGTGTTTTTCCGGGTGAGTGCTTCATGAACCATCTTCATCAAGTTCTGGGAGATCTTGTGGTATACGGAGTTTTTGAACATTGACCCGTCATTTATTGAGGGGATTCCCCCGAGAGCCGTTTCCGAATTCTGTTTTAGACAAGTCTCGACATCACCCGAACTCGCGAGATTGTCTCTCTCCGAAGTTCGACAGGGCTCCAGATGCGGATCTCCGTCATTTTGATGGTCTGCAGAGGCTCTGGATGTTTTCCGGATCCAGATGTATAATATAATATATGAATGATTCATTCGTGGTAACTCTTCAGAGACTTGACAATGCCTCTCCGCAGGTGTGATGGAAGATCCGGACAATGGAGATCGAATATGCAATCGGATCAAAGACCTTGACCGACAGCTCCAGCGTAAAATGAAAATGCTGCAAAAACAGGTGGGATTCACCGAGCTACTCGACGAGTCTTCCCGAATCGAAACAGGTAAGTCCGATCGGCGATGGATTCCGGCCGCGATTGATGGAATGAGTCAGGGTCAGCCAATCAATTAGCCCCCATCGTGCAGAACAAGTGGAAACTACGCTGAATGAGAGACTCGCTGAGGTCGATTCGATAATCGCGGATTTCGATGCAACCTTATCGAAGCTTCGGCGTATCGCTGATAGGAATCAATCCGAGCTGCTCTCTGAGCTGGAACACGAAATTTATGAACTTGAAATCATGGTGAGTTGCTTACGATCAGAGCCTGTGTGGCTGTAATGGAGCGATACGCGCTCACTCGCGGCTGTCGTCCCGCGACCGATAAAGCTCCAGGATGGGGAAGTTCTTCTATTGATTCGAGCAATAAACAATCACTCCAGGACAGCAAGGTCTCCGTGCTGGTGGAGATCGCGAACGTTCTGCAAAGAGTCGAGTCCAGTGCTGACGATCCGGCCACGGCGCTCGAGCACATCACCGATGTAGAAGACCTTTGCGCAGAACTCGACCAGTGGAGTGGAGGCAACCTGCTGATCATAAAGGTAGTACAGGACTGAACACACCTAGTAGAGTTTTTGCACCGTTGCACTCGCGTCTTATGTAATTGTATATCCTCCCCTTCAGAGTGTCCTCCAATACGTTCTCAACAAGCGCTACACCTTAGAAGCCGAGAATCGTAAAACGCTCTTACGATTGAGAGACAGCAACAAAGCCTCGGATCCGTTTTCGGAGGACACCGCGGATGGCTTGAATCAGAACGAAGAGAGTTTCTTAGAAAAGGTACGATAGAGCCGATGTACAAGTCACCACGGAGAGTGAGATTCCCAGGGATAAGAAAAGCATCAATTTGTTCTTATCTTCCTCAGTTTCGTGATGTCCTGCGGAAGCCACTGGAGCCGACTGAGAGGGTCACGTCGTCTGATTTCGGAGGTCCCGGTGATGTCGACCCATGCGAGGTGTCGTTTTGGTTGAGACCATTAGTCCTCGAAGTTCTCGAAACCTCGAATCAGGCGGTCGCCATTGAGCTCTACACGTCATTCTACCAATACGCGTCCTCGTCTTTTTCTCTACGGGAGTGCGGGATAGTTTTCTGCAATACGATGTATTTCGCCCACAAAGTACTCCTCCATACGCTCATCCATCCGTCGAGAGTCTCATTAAGCGCCGCGATCTCGCTGCGTCGTTTCGCTGGGCCCTTGTTGATGAATCGTATCCACGAGATCAAGTTTGATTCATCAATCCAATTTGTCGATGAAACGGCATCCGCGGAATATCCGAACCAACTGAAAAAATGCCGCCTCGACCTAAAAGACATCCTCCCAAGGAAGATATTCGAGAGGATTATTGTTTTGCTCAGCGATCAATTTGTGGGGTCTCTCTTAAGTGTTATAGTCAATACTGAGGATATCGAAACCGAGCAGGCTGATCGTTGGGCGCGGCTGTTAACGAACATTTTGGACCAGATGAGGGAAATAGTTGATGATGTGGAGCTGCCAGTCTTGCATAGAGCTGCAGAATTGAGGAATGTTCTGACTTATGGTCTGAAAGATTTTGCTGCTCAATGGAAGAATCCGAAATCCGTCTTGAGAGCCCATTTTCACGTCAACGAAGTACGACATCTGATCCGCGCTATTTTCCAGAATTCGGAGATGAAATCGTCGGTACTCGCACAAATTCAATAACCGTTTCGAAGCCTTTCAGAAACTGTCAATAAATGTAAATATCTTTGGAGCCTGTGGAATCTCGTTCGCGATCGATCACCATGAGCTGCATCGAAATACTAGAACCGATGGCATAGACGCTACCCTGGACCGTGAGATGATCCCAAATTCCCCTCTTAGATTCCGACTGGGAACTAGTGCAGTATTTCTTGAAGCTTAAGCAGCTCCTCTCGCCGTAGTTACCACGCTCAACGAACTTGGGTGTGATGAGAAAAAACTGACGGTTCGCGGTATCCGGTATCGAGAAAGAAGATATCGGAGCACTCTCATCCTGTTGACGTTCCTCCTCGCGCCAAGAGCAGGGGAGTTCATGGGATTAGAGCGACTTGGAGAGTGACGTGGAGGTCCACGGCACCTCCGAGAGTTGATGCGAATCTCCGAGATAGAGACGAGGATACAGTACGATGCTTCCCGGTCAATGAGATCGGATCTATGGCCGATCGGATGGGGTCCCATAACCCGCTGCAGAAAATGCAATTACATACCCAATGCCCAGAGAAAGATCGGCATGCGGGCTTCTCTCGCTAGGAGCAGCTTCTTCCTGTAGGGAAATCCAGCAATACATGATGATGTTGATCGAAGGGTACAGCAGCAGCGTGGACAAGTACCAAGCCAACCCATTTTACACCGAGTCAGCATCGAGCTACTCCTTGATTCATAGCGATAATCAGCGAGAGCATCCCATAGTATTCTTGCGGGGCAGGATTCTGGGTAAGTATATTGCTTTTTATTCTGATATACATGTGCCGATCGAGGCATATCTTACAAACGACAACCGTCCGAGTCAAGTGAAAGAGACGCAAGCCTCGCCGCTCGGCTCGGAGACCGTTGCCGGCTTCTGGCAGACGAGCAGAACGCTTTTATAGACATATTCCAGCATTGAGGCCGGTGTGCTACAATAGGAAGTTGTCAGATCGGTCTCTTCCTCTAAAATAGCGAATCCAATCGCTTTCGCAATGTTTTTGACGTCTTCGAAACTCGGTTCGATGCTATCAACCTTTGGCATATCGGCGTGGTGGTACAGAAGAGGTCCCAGGTTGAGCCAATAACCACGGGCCTAAGAATCCGAAAGATTATGTCAAGGTATTCTACGATGTTCTGCGCGGTATCGATGAAGAAGCATGTGCACACTATGTTCCATCGATCGCTCTGCTTGCCGTAGACCTCAATGAAATCACCGGCGGTCATGGAGAAATTTCGATCGGTCACGTGAGTTCCGGGCAGGACATCAGGTATCGACACCACTCGGGTTTGATCTTCGTTCCGAAAATTGTTGCTGAAGTGGCCCAAATACGGATATATTCTGAACTCGTTCGCTTTTCGAGACTTGTTCAGAATATAGAAGGAAGCGGACAACATGTGGAATGAAAACTCATTGCCTTCACAATAGAAACCTCTCGAGGCGAACTCGAATGCAAGCCTCCCTAGTCCCGCACCAGGAACCAGAACCTTTACCTCGCTGCGATGTCTCGGAAACAGTTTTTCAGCTCGAACGAGGAGCGGCAAGAAGCACTGACGTCGTTCATTTTCGCCGTCGGCGCTCCATTCCCTCGCGAACTGCCTCAGTGTCGAGAAAACCTTGTCCATGTCCATCGAAGTGGGCACAGATTCTCGCTCGTCATGATCACTGGAGCTGCTAAAACTCAGGTTCTCGAAAATCTCGGTGTCCTTGATCATTTTCTCCAGGAAGTCGTTGTTGACATCGACGCAGATCTTCAGCTGAAAGTCGCAGAATGCCTTCATAGAGCTCCTATCGCTCTCTCGCAATCGTATCATATTCATCAAGTGGGGAAGAACCAGCGCGCGTGAACGGGCTGAATTTCCCGAGCTCCGCCCCCACCTCAGCTGGTGGGAACTTCCAGCTCCATAGAAAATGAACTTCTCTCCGCAGGAATCCGAACCTCCTCGAAGAACCCGATCTTGAGACACACGCTCAAGTACCAATGATAATATAGGTGCGGGGACATTGATAAAAATAAACTCGCAGTCGTTGAATAGAGGCGGTCGGTCAAATATGAGCTCCTTCCATTCGATTTCAACGCACATGGGTTATGCCTGGAGCAGCTGAAGGCTGTGACGGAGTAGGCTCTAGACACAGGCTCAACGTGCTATTGTGCGTTTGGAATGATAGGGTTCCATCAGAGGTCCCCCCAGAATAGAGAGAGCGGAACTCACGTTCTCCAAATGTTCAGAGTATTTCTTCAGATATCGTCGGTAGTCTCCGTTCATGCATCTCACGTATTGAGTGCATCGGCCGATTCGATTGAGCGAGTGTACTCTGGAAAGCAGAAACGGTTCTCGTAACGACGGCGGAGAATTAATTGGTTTCGCACGAATTCCGCGTTTGCCGATTCCCGAATGAACGGAATGATCGAGAGAAAGCTCCGCATTCAGCAAGAAACGTTTCGGGATTCTCGAAGGGACCTATCGGTGCTGATGCGGCGATGAATGCGCTTTTCCGAAAGATTCCCTCCGTAAGTCTCCATGAGTTGGACTCGCCAAGGTTGATCGCGCACAGGGGAGTTCACGAGGAGGCTCCTGTGGGCGGGTCGTACGACATAGTCGAGCTCCGACAAACTCCACGTACTTGTACGCTCCGAATGCATTCACGACTTTTTGGAAACACTTGATTTCCTCTGCGGACACGACGGCTTCGGAAGGGGCGCTTCCAGCCATCTACGCGGCGGACTTGAGCGGGGACTCTACGGAGGAGTTGAACTCCGAGATCTGTGTGACTGATGAAGGCTTCAGCCGACCGATTGAAGCGTCACCTCTGCTTCCTCTCTGGGGACAGGAAGTTGTCAGTCGAATCCGACGCCGGCGAAAACTGCAGGAGAGCGCCATGTGATGTGAGAGAACGAAAAAGTGCCATTTGACCGTGAGGCAAGATGGCTGTCGCCCGTCAGCCTGCTAAATTAGCGGGCCGAGAAGAACACTTGTAAGGGAGAGAAATCCGCGGCACATCGCTCACTTAGAGCCGAGAGAAAATGCGAATAATCTCCACAAACCAAGAGAAGGAGATATCGCAATCAGGAAATTAATTATTCACGCGCATATGCTCTCACGAGAATCAAGTCCGAGAATCCTCAGAATGAGAGACCCGAAAATTATCGGAGTTCCATCCACAGCATCAGGTTCTCGGTGAGTATCCATTGACGTTGACCTTCATCTGAAAGATGCGGTAATTCTCGGGATTGGTTCCTCGGTTCCGCAGTGAACTTCTGATTTCACTGGTCTCTCAATGGAAAGCGACGGGTGGTCGAGTTTTTAGCGCCTTTGTCACTTCTCGTGCAAACGTGCATAGCCGCCACGACGCCGCTCGCGCGGGAGGGGGCGTGGATTCGATCCCTGCTGCCGGAAAAATATGCAGGTACTCGGCCTTGATCCTCCTGGGTACATTTGCTATATGGATCCGTCCTCGGGAGCAATGTGAACAACAGTACCCGGGACGTTAAACCTTGGCTGTGTGGTCCAGCCCGAGAGAGTTGGTCTTTCAATGGAATTGATACTCTCTCAGGACTAGATCGATCTTCGGCGGCGAACGGTCAGAATGATCTCTGTCTTCATCGAACAAGAAGGATTTGTCAGTCGGAGCTTTCCGCCGTTCGAGTGGAACAATCATTCCCTGTAAAAAGTTCATCGTGAGAATACTGCCATCAATACTCCCAAGGTGAAGTCATTCCCGCCCCAGATATCGCAGTGCAATATGAACATCGGAAGACTGGGTGACCCATCGGATGCTCTTCGAATAAAGGCTCTCCGAAGAAGAGAGAAATCGCTTCGCTATTCATTGAGAACGTAGCCGGAAGGAAATTCTTGCTCCGAGAAGGCGCCGCCTTCTCGGAGCTGCGTCTGCTCTACATACATGGGTGTCGGAGAAGCCTCGCGCACGGATATCCTTACGGAACCGAGAAAACTTGCCGGTGGAATGGGTCGGACTGGAAATTCATGCGTTCCACCGGTCTCACACCGGTCAGCTGCATTTCATCCAGCGTCATGTACAGGATACGCTCCAAGAGCTTTCTTTGCATATGAGCTGTCATGATTAGCTTGCGATGGGGCGAATGGAGAGTTCTCCGAATCAGAGGTCTCTTCCGATCACGGCGCAGTGCGCAAAGTGTTCCTTGTCGGTCTTGATGTTTTGCTCTCCGGACTCCGGATTTGCTCTACGGATCCGATAAATAGCGGAGAGTCCGGAGCCCCAGCTCCACAATTTACAACTCGTCACCAGGGAAAGGGGGAACAGGGGGCAACTCATCCTTGTGGTTCGACCATACTCGGTGGAGGGTGGCACCGACGGGGTGGAATTCGGAATCTTTTATCCTGCGGCGGCGGTGACCGACCCCCTCTCTCTTTGAATTCGGCAGAGATCGTTGGCGAACACTGCGAGAAGATCTTCAGGACGGAAACTTTCTCACAGATATTTCGGCGAGTGATGTTCTGGAATTCGTCGAGGGATACCGGATCCAATGTTTTAAGGGAGGAGTTGGGGCAACGGTGAATTTTGACAAATCCAGGTGGTTCTGGACCGGTGAGAAATAAAATACCATATAGAAGTGCCTTCTCCGTCGGCTCGAGAGGTTCAAGACAGGACCTCATATTGAGAGAAACACGGTATCAGAATGTGCGACTAGGAATCGACTCCGCTTTCCCGCGAGAAATAACGGTTTCGATTTGGCCAACGTTGACGCTTTTTTTCCATTGTAGCTCGAGACGCCGTTGCGAGTGATTCTTCGGATCCCTGATGCTTCTCACCAGCTACCTCACTCATGATACCCTCAACTGAAACATTCATCGTGCTCCAATCGCGAAGTTCAAGACTTCAGATCTTAGATGATTCCGAAGAAAGGATGGTATCACACGAGAACCGGTCCTTCCGTTTAGCGGGTTCTATTCTGAAAATTAAGACTTCATCAATATCCAGTGAGGAAGTTCATGACTACAAGGAAGATGAGTTCCCTTCGGGGCATCAGCGAGAATTTAATCGAGGTGTCGCAGAAAAGCGATGCCGAAGAACGAGCCTCAGAAGAAGATGACCGGAAATCATGGAGACTCTGGATGCTAGACGCTGTGGGATACTTCATCATATTTTATGTCTTGGTCTATATCTCGCTGATGGCCTTCGGTATACTTTCTTTCGATCTCTGTTTGTGCCGCTGCCCTAGGTTTTGAACTCCCAGTTCACGTCCTGAGGAAGAACGACGCAGATAACGCGTGTATGAGACTGTAACAGCTGCTGTTGTAATTGCCGCTTCCTTATATAGGATTTCATAACGCGCCGGGGAGAGGGAACGAATTAACCAATCGGCCTCTCGCTCTCCTCTGATTGTTCTAGAACATTCGATCACTTCGTCCACCTCGCAATCACAATGATGTTCAATCTAAAAAACTTTTTCGGGCTGGACCACACAGCCCTCCCTGATCCTCCCTTCGAGTTTTCCCTTCGGTCTGCTTATCCCTGTTCGTTATATGTACTTCGGGTTTTTCTTGATATTCCGCCCATAACGGCTCGTCGACGGCAGGAAATTCAGCCGGTGCCGGGGGTTCCAGAAGCCGGTTTGGCTTTCCTATTCTCTGGAATTTTGTCCCCTTACCTCCGTTTCCTCCCCACGGGGTTCGAAAGTGTCCTGTCCCGTTGCTCCAAGATCGTCTGAAACGTCGTTGATTTCCTCCGAAAGGTCTTCCGTTTCGGCCTCCTCCTCGTCGCTGCTGCTTTCTTCGGTGGGTCCCTCGAGTTCGGGGAACCTTGTGTCAGGCACATCGAGGTTGCCGTGCTTCAGGAAGAGCTTCAAATGAACGCCGTGATAAACCCACCTTCAGCCGTTCATCTTCGGTACGTAAGTGGACGGTTCACACTCAGCAATTGAGTATAGCCCTCTGTGAAGCGGGACCAACTTTCTCCTTTCTCTGCATCGCTTCGGTTTTCCTCATCCTTCACGATTCTTTCGAACGACAGTTTTCTCCATTCCTCTGCCATTCGCTTATGGTCCATTTATCCATTTCCGTCGGTTCCATGTCGTCTCCGCTTACCAAGAGCACCGGATCTCTGGACTTCCGCCCAAAAACTAGCTCATATGGTCTGAACCCTGTTAAGCTGTGTACGGAGGTTCTGTATGCGTACGCCGCGAAACGGGAAAGCGGGGAAACGGGAAAGCGGGGAAACGGAAGCGGGAAACGGAAGCGGGAACGGAAGCGGGAACGGAAG